TTTTTTTGCGAAAGACTATAGGCTCTTTGCAATGTTACCCCCATCCAAATTACTTATTATTTTTCCAAATAGCTTGCTATTTTTCAGGCTCATTGCACACAGACTAACAACAGTTAGACCTTTTAAGAACTTTAATCATTTTATGGTGATAACCATTTGATTATTGTATTACTAGTTTTATTTTATATTACTAACCATGTGTAACATGTAAGCTGAACTATTATATTATTATATTATAGGTACATTATTTTCTTTTTGTTTACAACTTTGCCAATATTTTATTTTGAATGTCTAATGATCCACAATCTTCCTTTGGAATATTTACTGAAATATAACTGCCAACTTCAATTATGACTAATTTCTTATCGCTATTTCTGTATTATTTTTTCTGCAGTCAATATTCCAAAAATAGATTATGGACTATTAGACACTTAAAATAAAATATTGGCAAAGTTGTAGACAACAAAAATATAATGCACCTATAATATAATAATACAATAGTTCAGTTTATTGTTATATATGGTTTTAGTAATATAGAATAAAAGTATAAAACTAGCAATACAGTAGTCAAATAATTATTACCATAAAATTATTGTAATTCTTAAAAGACCTAACTGCTGTTAGTCCGTATGCAATGAGTCTGAAAAACAGCAGGCTGTTTTGAAAAATAATAAGTAGTTCGCAAACGGACTATCCCATTGCAAAGAGCCTAGTCTTTTCGCAAAAAAACCTAATTATCCATATGGCCTGCGACATATATATATATAAAATATAGATACGAAAAATGTAATATTATTATGACTGACTGATGGTTATTTATAATTTATTTGTAACCCATACTAAAAAATTAAATTATTAATTTTAACATACTAATAATATTAAATCTGTAAACGTCAGTATAGATAAAGTTTTAATACGTACTATTGAATTTTTATTTGTTAAGTAATAGGTAAATGTTAATATATTGCTATGTGTATTAAAAGTTAATTTTTCAGATTATTTCACAGAGTAAAATTATAAATAGTTAAAGAACGGATAAGCTATAACGTTTACCACGATAAAATTATTGGTATTTAATATTAAAGTTCTATATAGTTGATAAAGAGACCTTTTTTATATTATATTAGATCAATATCTATTATATATTGATATGCAAATAGTCTACTTCAGCCTTACTCATTCCGGATCATGGCCACTTACTTAATATGTTAATTTAAGCTATTCTTCTGTTATCTATAAACAAAATACTTAATTCTGATAAAAAAAGTCTTTTACAATTTTGATTGAACCTAATAACGGTTTCACGGACGTTTTGACCCTCTTGATTAAACATACCATTCAATATTATATAAATATTCATTATCAATTAATTTTGCAACTAATAAAATATATTATACAAAGAAAATCAGTTGAAACAAATAAGGTTAATAATTAAATACCAGCTATCGTGTTATTCTATACATTCGTATTACAGGCTAACAAGTGTTTTTACTAAACTTTTAAAATAAAATAAATATTTATTAATAAATTAATAGTCTAAAGTACTAAATTATCAAAATCGAACTTTAAGTAGGTACCTACTCATGAACAAATTAATCGAACCTTTTTCATAAATTAAGACAATTAAGTACTTAAGAAATTTCGATAAACAAAAATATTTAACATAATAGCTAAATAAATTGTACAAATTTATAATATTACGTATAATAAATATTATGCTTATTAAATGATATTCCTATTTTCTATATATAAGTTTAAATGTATGTTAGTATACAAAATTTTAACAGTAAATTGTTATCATATAACTATATAATATAAAAAAACTTACGTAACTAGTTTAATTGTTGCCTACCTGTCAATAGCATCTATTAAAAATAATCATATTGTTATCCGAATAAAATTACTCAAAAATAATAATTTTTATTTATAGGAGAATATTTTCACCCCAATATTTTAACTTTATATATCAAATCAATATTTCTACATAGAACGCACTTGTGGCTGGCTATGCTGATGAAAAATCAATCATATTAATACAATATATTAATAAAGAACATTCAATGTCCATTAAATATGCACAAATGAATTATTTTTTCTTCGTAATTTATAGTATTATCAAAATTATTTCACACAAACTATTTATCTCTGTCTGACGTCGCGCTATTGGACTAGCTAAACACTGAATGTCTTACTGCATGACAAAACTAATCAGTACAAGAATTTAATAATAATAATCAAGGTTTAGATAAAATTTGTTATTTATTTTTATACTTCATAAATTTTTTAATTAATAAATATAATTTTACAACTTTATTTTTGGTTATACGTATTATTAACCAAAGCAGAGTCGTGAACTATTTTGCAAGTGAAACAAGACAATTTGAATAAGAATTGATGTTTGCCCACACACTACATAACACGAAAATTGTTCTGTTGTAAATTCTTATTATATCTACTTCAATACAATATTTTTCATAATTATATAAATACTGCAGTTATTAAAGTCTTGATTATTATATTGACAAATAAGTTAAAATAATGGATATTTTTATTTCAGTGAAACTTTGATTATCTGTCACTCTCTCATCCATCAACTTCTGTAATATATCACCGACATAATAGTATCATGAATTATAAATAATAAAATATTGCACGCCTGTATTATGGATTTACTCCCATTTGTTTTCATCTATAAGATAAATTATGATGTATAATTAAATATGTATATTGGCATAGGCGCAACTCAGGGAACTAAGCGGGCTAAGTCCATCTAGTTTTTCTTCTTGTGACTTTAATTTATTTTGTGCAAATTTAGCTGATAACTTATCAACAATGTTAAGTTATCAATAATAAAAAAAATATATTTTATCTATGTTGCATATCGTGTACTATTTCAACTAAAAGCTTATTATTAGCCACTTCTTAAGATAGTTTTCTCAAAATAGATTTAAAAAACAATGAGTATTTTATAAATCAATATCAGGTAAATTTTGAAAACTTAAAAATATTTATTTAATAAATAAAAATTCATATTAATTGAACAGTCAATTTTAAATATAAATCAAGATGATTTAAAAACGGAAATGTTTATTGCTAAAAACTGTGTATTAAATTTTAAAAACTTTTTTTAATTAGACACCATTAAATAAATAGTAAAGGATACATCTTATAATAGTAGCTCTAATCATACCAATAAGTTTAGCATCATGTAAGCGATCCTTCTTTTGTATGAGACATATTAAAAATTGATTAAGAACATTAATGGTGCAAGATAGGTTTTTAAATTTAGTTATTATAAATATTAGGAGAAATATGACCAATAATATAAACAATAATCCAATAATGAAATATTGTAAAAATATAATAAATTAAAAAGCTGACAAATATAGAATAAATAGAATAATAATTATTTGTATTTATTTTTTTGATTATAAATAAATAATATAATAAAACATTTTAAATGGAAGCTTGAAGCTATATAGCCCCCTAAAAAAAATATTTACCTTAGTTGCGCCTATGTATATAGGTATAAGAAACGAGATAAAATTAATTTATTAAGTTTAAAATTATTAAAAAAAAACCTGGAATTCAAACAAACAAACTAAAATGACTAATTTGTTTAAATTTATTTATTTTATCATTATATACATTTATGAATATGATACTAAAATTAATATAATATAATAATCATAAATATAAAAAAATGAATTGTTTTCTTTTATCCGTCACTCTCTTCACTATTAGTTCCGTTGCAGCAATTAATTGGGGTTTTACTATGGTATATTGAGAAAAGTAATAAATTTCTTAATTATACAATGTTGTATGTTTGTCTTACATCTTGAGACAATATTTTTAATAATAGAAAAAGTTTGGTTTTCAACTTCAGTATTTTTTCTGATAGAAATTACTCAGTTGTACTGTAGATTTCTAATAATTACACTAATTTGTAAGACTTTAATAGGTGTAATTAATGTATTAAGCAGTAAAGATCTGTTAGTCATTATCGCTAATTATTTTTAAATATAAGATCAAATATAAAATTTGCAAAACACGTCATTGTAAAATAAATACATTTAGTATATTCAAGATCTAAAAAAAAATTGGGGAAAACAAGATTTTTTACGCAAAACCAGTATCAGAAAAAATCTATTTTCTCACTTTGTTTTAATTCAAAAATGAATAAGCTGAGATACTTGAAATTTTCACCAAATGTCAGCATTTCTTATTTATGGTTTAATTTTCTAAATATTCTGACTCTTTTTGAACTATTTTTACATTTTGCTAAAAGTTCAAACATTAAGCTATTTGAACATTTTAATTTTTTTTCTTTGCATATCGATAAAAATGTTTCAAATGGTTGAATAGTTTTAAGATTTAATACAAAATTCCTCATTAATTTGTAATAAAAACATTAAAGATCGTAGCAACATTTTTTTTTTTTTTTTTTTTGAACAAAATATTAAATAACAGAAATAATAAAAATAATTTTTAATCTATGTTATAATATAGTAATTATTTTTTTACATAAAAATAAAAGTATTATTCAAAAAACGTAATAATTAAAACTAAGTTAGGTTATTTACCATTATTTTTTTTTTTTTTAATTTACTTTGTATACAACTTAATAAATAAAGTATCCAATAGGTAAATAATATTTTCTCTTTAAAAAAAAGTTTAAAATATTTGTTTCAAGCTTAAAAATATAAATTTTTATTTTATAATATAATATTAAAAATAAAATAAAGATATATTATAAGTAAAAATAAATACTAAAGATATTTTTTTGAAAAAATAACATACATAGATAATTGTAGTTGGTCGTCTATGACAGAACGAGAACACCAATTTTTACTTTAATAATCTAATAAACAAAATTTGAAATTGTCTATAAAAAACTTTTAATTGCATATTTCATGCTAGTTTTATTGGAAAATCATGAAAATCTAAAAATACGTTAAAAAATTAGATAAGTTTCCAGAAAATAAAATAATGCAGTAATTATTTTAATCATCAAATTATTTACATCCTCATTTTAATGCCTGGAGAAGTTTCAATAACTAAAACCTAACTTAATTTACAAAAGAAATCTTTCTCTTTTTTTTAAATAAAATATTAATATTAATTTGACTTAATAATTAACTTTATACACATTATATGAATAATACCCATTATTAATGAGCCATAGGAAAATAATTTAAATGTTCGCTCTCCTCCATATATTTGGTACAAAAATCCACCGACCACACCACCAAAAGAAGTACCTAGAATATTAAATGAAATAATATTATAAAAATTATAATCATATTTCAGATCAAAACATTGAAAGAAAATTAAATTCATAATTCTGTTTTCTAGAATTGAAAAAACTGCATTAATAATTTGTTATTATTTTTTTTATTAAAAAAGTTTAATTTTCTATTTATACGAATGAACATGATGAGTAAATGACAAAATGATGTTGAAATATAATGAATAAATAAGTTAGTTAAGCATCATTTCTAATGAGCTATACAATTATTAATTTTTATAGATTACAAATTTAATAAATAAGATATTTACAAAGTTTTTCCAATAGCCGAATCTTGAAACTCATTATTTTCGTACAAAAATGTAGGCATAACAAAAGTATAAAAACATAATTGTCTAAACTATAATATAGGATATATTATACTTTTTCCATTTTTAAAAGTTCATAAAAAAATTGTCCAAACATTTGAAAAAATGTTGGATATTTTTTTTAAATGGCTCATTTTAAAGCCCAGTTATTAATCAATAAATGAATATAACATATATAATATATATATTATATATTTCAGTTTTATATGAAGTAAACGGTTTTTAATTAACTGAATCATTCTAATAATTTAAATAAAATATTCATTAGTAATAACTAAAAATATCACATAGATATTAAATCACACCATTATGTTTCTCATGTATACTTAAATTTTTTATTACTTAGTGAAATATAATATTACACTTACCGACACCTTCAAATAGAGCTCCTGAAAGCGCCACTACTGTAGTGGCAGAATTTTGTGGAGCTATAAATCTAGCATATGATACCAAGACGGCATGACACAATCCAAATGTAATGCCGTTAGTGAATTCGACTGGCAGTATCCAAATAGGGTTAGTAATTATAGAATACAGATAGAATCTAAGAGCAAAAATGAAAAGACCTAACGCCATGCAATACGTATGACCAATTCGTTTGATGAACCAACCAGAAAAAAATAAGAATGGCATTTCTCCGCCAATACATTGAATTCCTATAGCCAAACCTTGTAAAGTTTTTATCCAATATTGTTTATTGCTGTGATATTTTCGAGTTAAGTCCTCCATGTACCTAAAATACAAACAAGCTATTTTCTAAAATTGTATAGCATTCGATACACTTTATCATTTATTAAAATTAATTGAATTTAATATTTAAAATTTAGTTGTTATGAAATTAAAAATTATTTACAGTTAAATCAGTTAAATGTATTAAATACATTTTTTCATATAATCTTAATTACGTTATATTCAATGAATTTAATTCGTTACAAATATTCAACTAAAAGAATACTTAAGATCACATAAAAAGTACATAATTATTCCATAGGCATATGCAGACCTTGCAAGGAATGAGAAAAGGATGAAGATTTTTTTTATTAATGTTAAGAACTGCATTCTTATTAAATACATAAGATCATATTTTACAGAAATTCTTCATTAATTTATATTAACAATCCTAAATTATTTTGTATGCTCCACTTGAATTTTTTAATAACATATTTTTTTTATTATCACAAAATTAAAAAAAAAAAAAATGTTTAATTTTATTTTTATTACCTGTCTATCAGTTAATAGTTAATAACTAGGAAACGGATTTATATGTTAATGCATATTTTTATTAAAACAAGATGTTTAAGATTCGATAAGAAATGTTCATGATTTAAATCATTCTTATTAAAATGATGAAATTTTTATTTTACATATTTTTACATATTTCACTAATTTCTAAATATTTTTAAACATATTTTATCACGTCATCATTCATGCGTTTTCAATCAATATTGCAGTGGACAAAAACAGTTATATATTGGTATATTGTTGTATACTGTTAAAAAAAAATTCATGCTGTTCAGAAAAAAATCCAGGCTAAATTGATTTTAAAATAACCAATGACATTACGAGTGGCATACATCCTTCTAAAAATTTTAAATTATCGCCTTCAGATATTATGCACTTCAAATATCCTCCAATTACATTGGTTGATGTAAAATTATCATTTAGCCGTTTTAAAAAATATTTTTAGTCCTAATAAGCGACATTCAACATTCGATAATTTAAAGTAAATTTTAATTATTCATTGCAACAAATCATTTTAAAAATTTGATAATTACATTTAATATATTTTTTTTTTTTTTTAATTACATTTTTCTGACATATTCTAATGTTTTTAACACATATTTTATCAAATATTTTAGAAATTATATCTCCATATTTATTTACATATTTTTGTATTTTAATTACATATAAATCCATTCCCTAAATAACATATTTAAAATTAATATTATAAATAAAGGTAATTGGTTCTAAATAGAAAGATGAAATTATTGATTTTACAACACGTTTTTCAAAATTGAAAATCCCCAGAACTTTTAAAAACAACCAAGAAAAACTAAAGACTACAAGAAAACTAGAAACTTGCAAAACCTGTAGTTTTTAACAAAATTGATTTCTTTTTGATCGTAGAAACATGCATAAAACTTTTACCAAATATTCATAATAGCATTTACTAGACATGACATTATTTTCGAAATTTGTTAACTGTTTTTGTACTATTTACGAATATTTTAAAGTATCGATTTTTTTCTTTTATTTTTATTCAATTACTTTAAGTATAGAAAAATGTTTATTTTTAGATAAAAAAAAAAAAAATGAAAATCAAACACAGACTTTTTCATATATTTTTCTTACTGCATTTAAATATCATAAATATATAGTGAAAATTCGTTTTATATGCATATAAAGCTATAAAATCATGACAATTCGCATAAATTATTTTGTAGGTAATTCGTACAAATAAAATTTAAATATAGGGTGTTTCATAAAGTACGGAATTTTTGAAAATGTAATAAATCAGCTAAAATCATAAATAAATTCAAAATTTTTATTTTATTACATTTAAAATATATTTCGATTTAATGTTTAAAAATTATATCCACCATATTATGTCCACCTCCACTGTCTTTGCAGGCCGTCATTTCTAAGACTCACATTAACACTCTCTTGTATTACGGCCGTGTACGAATTATGCGATTTCTACCAGGACTTTTTTGGGTTTTAACTAAATCAGTTTGTTCAAATGTCCATACTAACCTTAGAACTATTATTGCAGTAAGAGCTTCCCCGTGTTCAAAAGTCATGTGAAGTTTACGGACAGTCACAGCTGCACACTCACTGTTTTTGTAATGAATTTTCAGTATATGAGTATATACTGATGATTACTGAATCGCACCATGATAAAAAAAAATTAAAACAGGGTATCAACCCTTCAAACAAACAAATCCCATGCATTTCAAAAATTGCGCGCTTTAAGAAATACCTTTTATCTATGACTTAAAAATTTAATACTAAATCCCTCGTAAGTCTATTTAAAAGAAAATTAAATTAACATTTAGTTTAATTAAGAAATTGTTATGAGCAATTTAACTTCAAATTTGAACGTTTTAATTTTATATTTAAATGTATAATAGATAGTGATTTATCCTTAACTGATTTTTGTCATTATTAGGCTAGTATTATTTAGTTCACTATTACCTAATTTATTATTTTTAATATTTAATAAATATTTTAAAAATTTTAGACAAAATTTAAACTATCCATAAAGATTTAAAATTTTCGCATTTTTATTTTTTAAAGTTTTGATAACAATTTTATGCTTAACAAAAAGCTTGAAAAATTAACAAAAAAATCCACATGAGTTTTTCTTGTAACACAATTAAAATGTTATAAATACTCGTACATTGGCATGATATTTTTTATAAGAGTTTGAAGTTCAAATTTTTACAAAATGTGTCAAAATTATGGAAATTCACGAATTATTTTGAAATAAAAAATATATAAAATATTTAATCTTTGTATAGCTAAGTTTTAAAAATGTGTACAAAGTACCTCGTAAACTATTCTTACTAAAAGCATTTAAGATAAAAAATATTGATAAAATTATGTATTTTTTATGTCCATATACATCCAATCCATCATTGATAATTATTTTATTTTTAAAAATAATTTTATGATAACAATCGCGATTCAATATAAAAGATTTTCTAATATTTTAAATTTAAACTTGGAAAAAAATTTGAAGCTATCAATTATGTTGACAATAATTTGTTTTTAAACAAAATCTCTTCTTTTTCACTATGATAACATTGTATACTAACTATATAGCTACTATAATATTATTATCTTATATTATTACCTACCAAAATAGATAATTCCATGGCATTGATGTGCAAATTCCCATCACTATAATCCATATCAAATAGATTATAACATTAAAATTAGTTATTAATTTGAATACGTCTGAAAATGTATTCTTAGATCCAACTGTCTCAGTTATCTTAAATATATAATATAAATATTTTAAACGATTATATAATCTCAATAGTCTACAGTATACTATATTATAGCATTTTTTTATATTATTAAATGTGTAAATTTTAAAATAATACAACAAACTTACTTCTATTTTGTAAGCCAAAGCAAAATCCCATAATATTATTATAAGGCATAAATAATAAATTGGAACATAGTTTTTTTGATTATTACTATTACTGAAATAATCAACAAGTACTCCACCAAAAACCGAGAAAAGTCCCCAACTTATGGATCCCCAACATCTTTGTTTGCCAAAATCTTCAGGCTTATCATCTATTAATAAGCATTAATCGGATAAAAAACAACAGAAACAAAATACATATATATCAGATATAACTAAATAAATAAAAATTTTACAAATAAATTATAGTGAATTAGAAACAAAATAATTAAAAACGATATAAATAATACTATGGGACATAAAAACATACCCGGTATCAGGTACCTATATTGTTAAATTGCTTAGGTATCATAAGATATTTGAATCTTAAGTTGTATGATAATATAATATTACAACAACTTAAATTATTTATAGTATAACACTATAATACTATACTACTATACCATATACAACTTTGTATGTTTTGTTTACTTCTTTTAATATTACATTTAATTAGGTACTTAATTGTCCAGACAAATTATAGCACAAATTCCAAATAAAACAAAATACAACACAATAATTATAATTTTAAAACGATTATTCTGCTTTTAATTCTTAATTTGATTTAATAATTATCAAAAGCTACCTACATGTAAATTAATTTAAATAACTATAAAATATCTAGATTTTAAATTAGAGATAACTTTTAAAAATGATTTATAAACTTATGTATTAATTATATTTTTATAATTTTCATCACTGAATTAATTTCTGCTGTATAAGATAAACAGTATAGTATTAAATAGATATGCTTTATCATTAAATCACAATATATTTATTATTATTTTAAAGTAAAATCAAAAATTCAACACAAACATTTATTGGCGAGATAAAAAAAACGAATTAATTTTGTGTTTAAAATTACTCACTTAAAAGATCAAAGCATATAGGATCTTGAAGACTCCAAGTTATTGCTTGGCTTATCCAAAATAAACTCATAACAATCAAATATTCCCAAAACTGATGTAAACCAAAAATACTTCCTTCAAACTTTTGAACACTCGCCAATTCCATTATGACATCGTCTGAGCAGTCTATTTTGCACCGAGTACTAACCGGTCTCTTACAAAATGGTGATACAATTTTCGTTTTAATGATGTGTACTGATTTCACTTGAAAAACATAGTTTTGTTCGATCTAATCAAAAAATAATAAATGAAAGATCATTACAAGTTACAATTATACACCTACTTGTGTCTCGAAATCTACAGCAACGTCTGGGACCATTAAAAATTTTAATATTTTACCTGATCTTTTACATTGATAATCAAAGTTACATTGAGATATTCGAGTTCTTTGTTTTTATACTCAATATTTGGAGTTATATTATAGTCAATGATATTCCAAGATCTATCTATTTCATCCCGAAATGATTCATTTTGATCACAGCGTAACTAATAAAAAATATTAACAAAATATATTTTTTTTAATCAATTATTAAATAATGATGTCTTTATTTATACATGTAAAATTGTATTGTGTACTAAAAGTCTAAAAATGATTTATAATTTATAAACAGTATGGATTATAATCAAATAATTATAAGCAGGCAATAGGGTATCCTAACACTTCAAAAATGTTAAGATTAAAATGTATATTTTTATGTATCTATAAATATTTTGAAATGTTCATAATGTTAGTATAGGAAATAACCACTTTTGAAAATTTTAGAAATCGTTTAGATTAATTATTTTTAACAAATTCTAAAATATAATATCGTTTATTAAACTTTTGAATATATTATAAATATAATACATATTATTATGTATATAAATTAAAATTAATTTTAACAAAATCTATATTATTAATTCATAACTTATTTATAATAATACTCAATATAAATATAATTATGATCAATTTTACTAAATAATTTAAGTATATAATACATAGATTCAATAATATGTAATGAATAATAAAACTATGAATTGAAAGTTGTGTTAATAAAAATTATTAGATATTTTATCATGAATAGATATGATAGGTATACCAACATAATATTGATACTAAATTTTTATTTTTAGCAATTTAAACTATTCTACAAAATCATTTTATAAAAATCCATCTTAAGTAGATGTGTATATTAACACTTATTTAATTACATTTTACCAATGTATAACGTACTTGGCATTCGACGGGTTCTGTACTATTTTTTATTAACTTAAATAAACTGTCATTGCATTGAGGCAAATAGTCGTCATTAGTTGAACAAATATGTAATTCTGTTGTTGTATTACAACTTAAATTTGCAACAGCTTCGATCGGTATTTTTTGGATGAATTTTAAAGCAAACGCTGTAAGACCACATAACAAAACAAATGCGAGAAACATAATTCTTTTCACGCGAAATTTATCAACGAAAATTCCTGTAATGGGTTTCACAAAAAAGGATAACATGGACAAATATGTAAAAACAAAACCGACTACCATCGGCGAATAACCTAGTTGTTTCGCTATGGTAGGTGCAAATCCTTGAACTGACGCAACACCTGCAAAAACAGTAATAATAGAAAATCTCAAGTTAATTTAACATAAAAATCGTAAGCGATAAAGTATAATACAACATAAAAAAAATTAGTTTAAAGATCATATTACTGATAGTACAACAACACGTAGGTACCTATATAGTACATACATAACAATTTTAACATGAATATATTTTATTCTTTTTATTAAGTATTTTAAGTAAGTTTTCACTTATAAATATTAAATTAACTTACCTACTTAGGTACAAATATTAAATATAAATTATCTAAATATTTATCAAAATATCAAAATACCTACATAGATGTTTAGTTAGAAATATTTTTTTAAATATAATTTTGAATTTTAAAATATTAAACAAATATAAATAGCAATATTATCTAATAATATTAGTACTTACCGCCCATATATAGAAAATAATGAAATTTCATCCGTAACGTGCGTTTATTAACTCGAATATGTATTGGAAACATTTTAAGTTCAATTGATATTTTTTATTTTTGCTTAGATGTCAAAGTCCGCACGAATAATGAATGAAAACTGCAAATTACTAAATACAATTAAACATTATTTTAATTTGGTACTTACCTAATAATTAATGTTAAAAAAATGGGTAACTATAATTAAATAATTTCAGTTTTCTAAACATCTTTAAGTAAATAAATACATTTGTATTAAATATTAGATTCTAAGAATACAAAAAATTACATGTTTAAGTTATATAACTAATAATTAAAAATGTGTATGTATTAATACTTACGCGTAGTTATGATATCCAATACTTCACACTATTAAACAAGTTTTAAAGTGCCCATCGATCAGAAACTAATACATAGAAATATATTATTTTATTTTATTTCTTTTATTACTGATAATATAATGTAATAGACATATTATAATTAAATAACATTAAAACATTAATAATAATTACTGACCTATCGATACAATATAATGACAGCATATTTGTGACATTTAATATGAGTCATAATTGTTATTCTTATTATTTGTATGTATTCCGTAACTTATATAATTTATATATTTTGCTATAATATTTAAAATAAATAATAAAAATTATTTATATAATGCTTTGGATGATAAAGGCAAAATTTGGTCAATACAACTGAATAATACATATAATATATATGTTCCAAATATTCAGTATAATATACATCACGAGTACAAAATAATTATAAATTAATAAATTCTATCCAGATTTGACTGTATTATTATTAATATATTTATTACTTTTCTTAGAAATTTAATAAAGACATATAACTTATATAAAGTTTTAAATTTAAAAAAAATTGCAACCTATTCATTTTTTAGTTTTATAAGTCACAGGAGATTTTAGGTTTTCAAATTGTTATCACGTGTTACGTAGAATATTAAAGACATTTATGCATGAGAGATTATGTATTTTATAATTGATTAATCATATTATTATTAATTATTTTTAAATATTAAACCGTGTAGTTATCATATGTAAATAAAAGTATTACTAAATATTTTAAGTAATTTATATATCTGTAATATTCTTTAATTTATAACACTAATTTTGTATTTTTTTTTAACCATATTTCTCTGCAACTAAATCAAAAATTATTTAATATAATATTTAATGAATGAGATAAACATGTTAAATTTTCCTATTTTATCGTCATAATGAAAATAATAATTAGGCTATTAATTTAACCTCAAGACAGCCTGAATTTTAGTCTGGCTTAATACATGTATTTTAAATTATATAAAGACTTTTCTTTTAAAAATACAAACAAATTGTCGGAAGAATAATATACATAATATTTAAATAACAAAACTTTTGTAATATAATTTTTATGTATTTTTAAATAATACAAAATAATAATTGATGTATTGAAACTATTTTTTTATTTAATATTTATTGTGAAGTTCAAACTATAAGTCATAAAAAAAAAATATTAGTTATTTAGTTTATAAATTATATACTATTAAAAAAAAATAAATTAATTAACATACATTTTTAAGTGCTTAGAAAAAACATTAAATTTGATGGCTTAAACTTAAACAAACATCATTTTAATTGATAATGCCCGCTCCATTTAAATTTTTCTTACTTAACACAATAAATAATACATGTAGAGTACTCATCAATAAGGAACCGATTGAAAATAACTTAAATGTTGATATTCCTCCAAATTTTTCATAAAAAAATCCACCTATCAAACCACCTAAAGATATACCTAAAAAAAAAATTATATACAGCATTAAATACACAGTATAGTGTATATTTCAAACTTTATTATTAATTATTGATTATTTCTACATTATACAGCATATTTATTGTTTACAAAAGAATACCACAACTTTGAAAATCCGTAACTTCATAACTACATCGTATACAGCGTGCTACCATCTACTGTTGTGAAAAAAAAGCTCTTAAGTTTTTGTTAGTTACCAAGAAAGTGCCCATTATGTTATCAATAAACAAATAATAATAATAATAATAATAATAAGATTTATTTTGGTTTGTAACGCACGTCACCATGGTTTGCCATACCAAAAATCGTTTTGCGTAATTTAATTCCGTAAATCCAAATCAGCTATTGTAGTAAAACGCGCATACTGAACTAAGTATGGAATACAACCTCCTGACAGAAACGATATCATATGATAACATAATCAAGTTATTGATACCGGGTGTCTATGCAAAGAGAAGAACCCTAGACGCCCACGCATCTTACAAGAAAAGTCAATATGACTCCCTGTGGTTTTTTTCTGTGGGCCGTGGGGGTCTGTGAAAGCTGTAGCTTATGTACCACCCTTGCCAGCTAACATTAAAAAACTAAAAACGAGAAACACAGCAGTCATCCAAACAGTGACATCAGACGCCAGACATGTTGCAAAGTGTGTAGAATGAGTTTGATTATCGTGTAAAATGTAGATAATTTTTTCGAGCTTCTGGAGGGAGACACATTGAAAATTTGTAATATTAACGTACGTGAAAAAGACTTTATTATATTTTCTATTAAAAGGTGGGTAAAAATTGACCCTAACTAATTTTTTTCAATAAACATGAATTTTCAAAGCATGGTATTATTTTGTGAACATACTGTATAATAAAATATTTAATGATAAAAATAATCAATTTAATACCCCATTAACAATAAGTTAACAGTTAACATTATTTTTTTTTTTTTTTAATTATGTACACTAAACAAATCACAGTAGTTTTACAAATTATTTCAACTTGAATATCCTGTGATGGACAAAAAGCAAGTTAATAATAATTTTACTAATAAACTTTAATATAAACTATGGTGATATAGTAGTGTTTTAATAATATTATGTACTTACTACCTATAAATTATAATCTATATAGATTGTAAAGTATTAAATTTATAGTTAGAGTCAATGTTTCATAAATGTATCCAATGATTTGATTAGAAGGCAGTTTATCAAAATTTTCATTAAAATAACTTAAGGTTATTAATTTTTTAATGTGCATTTATAATACAGCTACTACCTATTTTAAAATAATTTTTCAATTATTCAATGGCAGAAATACAGAATATTATTATTTTTCTATATTTAGGTATGTATCGATTATAGATATATTAAATATATCAATGATATTTTAAGTTAATCAATATAAAATATATACATTAAAAACAAATTTTGTTCATCAAAATATTTCGTAATGTAAGTTTAAAAAAATATAATCATATTTAAAGATTAAGATATCGAATATGCAGCTAAAACGAATCAATAATTGTATTTAATAAATAACCATAAGCATAATAACATGTACAGTTGTACTCATAATTCATATACATACCTACACCTTCAAATAGTGCTCCAGAAAATCCTACCACAGTGGTGGTAGCACTCGCAGGAGCAACGATTCTAGCATATTCCATCATCACAGCGTGAAACAATCCAAATGTTATTCCATTGGTGAATTCAATTGGCAGTATCCAAACAGGATTAGTTGTAATAGAATATAAATAGAATCTAATAGCAAAAGTGAAAAGACCTAAGGCCATGCAATACATATGACCAATTCGTTTAATAATCCAACCAGAAAAAAATAAAAATGGCATTTCACCGCCAATGCATTGAATTCCTATAGCAGAACCCTGTAATGTTTTTATCCATGATTGTTTTTCACTGTGGTATTTCTGAGTTAAATCCTCCATGTGCCTATATAAAAAAAAAAAGTAAGACTCAAAAAATACATGCAATTTAATAGGCACAAATAAAACAAACCACATTTCAAAAAATAGACATAAAATAGTATTACGTTTATAAGTCCGTAACATATAAACTATAAATATATGACATCGAACCCGTTTAGAAGTATTAATAAATAATAGTTTTTTAAACAAAATCAAAAAATAATGAATTAATGTTAAAGATTAAAATAACATTTTTAAATATGAAATTTACTATATTACCAAAAAAGGTAATTCCACACCATTGCTGTACAAACACCCATCAGTATGATCCATACAAAGTATATCACAACATTGACATTAGTTAGTAATTTGAATATGTCTGATAACGTATTTTTAGATCCAATTGTCTCAGTAATCTTCAATAAATCATGTAAACATTAAAAAGAATGCTTTACTATCGTATAGTTGACGAAATAATGTTAGAAATATTAAGTAATAATGTTACTAAATTTTTACAGTTTTCTATTCAAGTGTTATAGAATACAGTATTGCACTATTCATTAGTAACAAAATGCAATGAACATAGAAAAACTTACTTTTATTTTATAAGCTACTACAAAATCACATAATATGATTATAAGACATAAATAATAAATCGGAAAGTAGTTCTTGTGAATATCACTATCACTAAAATAATCAACTAGTGCTCCGCCAAGTATCGAGAAAAGTCCCCAACTAATAGATCCCCAACACCTTTGTTTACCAAAATCTTCAAGTTTAACACCTAAATAAAATAACAATAATAGCATAGGTTAAAATATTATTTTTAGAAAACCATCTATAAAGTATATATATAGTATATACATACTTTACCAATAGTGTGACAATATATTATATTGTACTATACAATCTCTAAATCGTAATTATTATTATTATTTATTTTTTTTTTTTTGATAAAACAAATTAAATATCAATTAATTCTAAAACATAAAAATAGTCACCTAAGAGATCAAAACAAATTGGATCTTGAAGACTCCAAGTTATTGCTTGACTAACCCAAAATAAACTCATAACAATGAAATATTCCCAGAATTGATGTAAGCCAAAAATGCTTCCTTTAAATACTGTAATAGTTGCTAATTCCATTATAACGTCATTCGAACAGTCGATCTCACATTGAGTGCTCACTGGTTTTAGGCACGTAGGAAATAATACTTGAGTTTCCTTGGATTGCACCGATTTTACTTCAAATCCATAATTGTTTCCTATCTAACAACGTTTATAGAGTAAAAAAAATATAACTAACTTAAAACGTGCAACATCGTGGTTTTTTTGAAAAAAATAATAAAATGTGGGTAAATAAATACCGCTCTGTTGTACTATAAGATCGAATCAGTCACCGTGATGAATGTGTTAAATTTGCATTCATTTTTTTTTTCTTATTTTATTGGTCTTATTTAAGCCCGGCGACTAAGGCCATTAGCTGTGGATAGGAACGGTAGGTTTTTTGTGTAAGGTTTGGTTAGTAGAGTTGGAAGTTGGAACACGTATGTGTATGTGTGTGCGCCATAGATTCGTCACTAAGAACTCGGGTGGTCACCCATCCGAGAACTAGCGACGCCGGCCAATGCTTGACCTCAGGATATGTTAGTGACTGAGGGTAACCACCGCGCCACACCAGGTCACTTGCTTTCAATTATATATCATAGAATACGATAAAAGATTCTGAGCGGAGACAAATAGACGATTTTATGATCCTACATCAATAAGTATATTTCATTATTATATTTTTTGATATTTCTACTAGATAAAATAATTTACTCTGCTATTAGTAACACAGTGGGTTAAATAATTTCATGAATTTCTCATTACAAAGTAATTTGAACATTATCGAAATTTTACAAATTTTGTTGAAGTTCTAAATTTAAACACTTATAAAAAAAATATTGTACCTATAAATGTTGATATTATTTTTTATTGATGAATGAACAACTTATAAGAAATGATCAATACTTATTTTTTCTATTTTTCTATTTTATATCAACTCCGATAGCTATAAATTATAATAGATATTATTAATAAACACCGATTATCAAAAAATTTGTTTTTACTTGCTTTGATTCATCCTTACACAGTGAAAAAAAAATTGATTATTATAAAACACAAATAATTTAAAAAAATGATCAATTGATCATCGAGAATCCTATAACTTACATTACTTATAGTTTTAATAGTGTTTAATGCAAATGACATAATATTTACAATTTACCTCATCTGTTAAGCTTTTAAACAATGATACATTGAGAAAAGTAAGATTATTGCTTGTATTCATGTTGTATTGGGGTACACAATATTCCACACTCCAAGAATTACACATCTCATCCCAAAATGATTTATTTGATTGACAATACAACTAAAAAGAATACAGAAAAGTATCATCAATTCATTCAAAAATGAAGCTTTTTAATTTATTTTAAATAAAAATACAACAAATTATATTCAATACTTTATTACCTACATAATACTACATAATTAAATACGTAAGACACCGATATAAAATCATCATATTATTTTAATAATTTACTTGGCATGTAATCGACATAGAATTATTCATTAAGAGTTTTTTTAGACTGTCATCCCATTCAGGCAATTGGCCGTCAACGTTTGAACAAACGTTCAATATTGTTGTAGTGTTGCAACTTAAAATTGCAGCTGTTTTCGTTGGTAATTTCTGAATAAAGTTTAACACAAATGCTGTTAAGCCACATGTCAAAACAAATACTAGAAACATAATTCTTTTCACACGAAATTTATCAACTATTAATCCAATAATAGGCTTAACTAAAAAGGATAAAATAGATAAATATGTGTAAAGATAACCAACTAACATCGGTGAATAGCCCATTTGTTTAGCTATGGTCGGTGAAAATCCTACGATAGAAGCAATACCTAAAAAACCAAAATTATAATTTAATCTATAAGTTGAAGGGTAAAGGCTTATTGTGGACTATCTAAAACGTAAAAATATGAAACTATAGTAAAATCAATATAATTTGACAAGAGGTATAAATTATAGTACATATAACCTATATGTCAAATTATCAACTATAGTTATATATTTTTTTAAATTTAATATAACCATATTATTAGAGACCAGATTTATATGTATTTAAAGGTCTGAAATAACGATGCTTCGAATTTAATTTAACTAATTTTGTAAATACAATTTTATTTTGCATATTATAATTACCAACTTGGATAAGGGTTGCCTATTATTCATTTTCTTATATTATAAAGGTAAATATATTTTCAATTTTTCTTACATTTTTATAATAAATAATTATTTTATTTATGTCTTAGTTTCTGAATTTTCAATTAATTACAACAAAATTTTATTAATCTAATAGATAAAATTTAAAGACTAATACCTTAATACCTAATAAGACACTCATTTTTAAATGTATTTAAATGGAGGTACCCATGTATAATCAACAATTAAAAGTTTGTAAGTAACTGAAAACTCGTGTTTTAACGATTTTTAAGAGACCGAGAAAAAAGTTAGTTATATCCAGAGTTTGTTATATCGATATTTGTATGAGATATTGAGATATGTATAACACGATATTTTAAGAAAATGACAGTTTCGTTTGTTTATTTAAATTTTCGTTATATCGAGCTTTGTTACATTACAAGTTTACTATATTGCGTATTATACGCTTCATTTGATAAAATCAAAAGTTATCTTTAAATACAAATGTGATTAGCTATAATTTAAAAATATTATTAATTCTTCACATAGGTATTATAATTCTAAAATATTTAACATATTATTTATCTAGTATTTTTTATAATACATACTATGTACGATATACCTATAATAAATAAATATCAATTATTATTCTATATACATCTAAATTTTTAATATAAGTAAGATAACTAACCAAGGTAGGCTAATAGGTATCTATAAATTATAATTAATATAGTAACCCTTTAAAAATAGGGTAGTATAGCTATCAAATTATTTTAATAATTTATGTTAAAATAACAACCAGAATAAAAAAAAAAAATTATTTAATTTATTTAAAAACAAAAAATTATTTTAAATTATTATTTCATTATTAATATTGGCTACTTTTGTCATTTATATTTGCATCATATTTTATACATTTTTACTTTTTAGAATACATAATTTCAGTATTTACTCATTAAATTATTTGAAATTAAGCTAGTTAGCAATAATATTTATTCAATTATTCTCATCTTATAAATGTACATAAATATTATTACAAGATTTTTAGATATCACTGTAAATATATTATTGTCTAAAAATACTGATAGCTTTATTTTTAAACACTTTACTTACCACCCAAATAAAGAAAATAATGACATTTCATTCGTAACATACTTTTATTTACTGAAAACATTTTTATCACAGTTTTGAAATTGTTGATTTTTTTTAAGATTTTTATCCCTTAAGAGTTTGTAACTGGAAATCTGAAAAATTAAAAATTAATTCATTATATTTATTTATTATTCATGATACATACCTATCTACTAGAGGTATTATGTATTATTATTATAAATACATTAAAACTTATTAAAACATTCATTATTTCAAAAACTATTAACATTTTTGAAAATATTATAGGTACATTCAGAGTATTCTAACTGTAGTGATAATTGTTAATGATAAAATTGTAAATATATATTTATTATTTATATCATTTGTACAGACAACTTAAATTTATGTAAGTATAAAAAATATTTTTATAAAAGTTAATAATTTTTAAAATAATGAGTACCCATATAATATATTAAATTAATCACGTGGTATATAGTGCCTATTTGTTCGTGATTTAATAGTTTTAATTTGGAATGCTTATAAAAAATTTATTCTTAGCCATGATTTTCATGACCTCATTTACTAACCAAACCATGAACTACCATGAAATTTCAAGTGTTAAGTCAACTTCAATTTCTGCCTTTTGAATATGGCATGACAGACGACATAGCCGTGAACCTGGTTTGGACACAGATTTTGTTAATTTAGGTACCTACCTATATAGCTAAATTTGGTTCCAATACTTCCTACTTATCGTTAAGATTAAAAATAAAGATAGTGTATTACACATTAAGTATACTTATATAATATGAATTTCTACTATACCGACTGCTTACCAAGTAAATAGTCTTCAAAGCTTAATGTGGTATATTTATAAATGTATAACCATTGAATGATTATACTCGCATATGTATGTTTAGGTATATATAATCAATGAAGTATAACATTATCTATTAGCTAAAAATTAAAATGTAAATAAGGTTAAGTTGAATGAACTAATCATTACTTAATCAATAGTACATGAATGAGAGATAAAGATTAAATTAATATATTTTAAGTTCTAACCTCTTCCTATCTATGTTTATATAAGTTATATTATTATAGATGACAGGTACACTCTCTCGTGTGTAAATGTGTAATATTATATTACATATACCTATGTATAAAAGTATAGCCACTTTAAGTAAAGATTTAAGCGTATCCGATGCACCATACAACGATAAGATATTTATAATTTACATGTGAACATGTCGATATATATTAATATGAAATACACAATACACTAATACCAATACCCAGTGACGGATACAAGTAGGGGGCCTAGACCCTCCCCAAACATATTATTTTTCAAATTTATTTTAGAATTCTACAGATCCTGATATTACTATATTTCAAATCACATATACGTCTGATAATATATTATTTAAAGTGGATATATACCTATATATATATATATATATCAGAAAAAGCAAAAACTATAAATAAACGTTTAGATATTAATATTTTATTCATAAATATTATATTATATTAGATAATTATTAATTAATTTATTACATTGATTACCTATACATATTATTATGTCAACGACTATAAGTTATGAATAAAGTACCTATAAAAAAAATTGTTTGACCCCTCCCCCCCCCAGGTCTTTGCTCTAGATCCGTGCCTGCAGCAATACCTAAAATTTATTTTAATTAAATATGTCTATCAAATACGTAAATTACTACATCATACAGTTATTATTTAGATGTGGATATTAATCACGTTGAGTAGGTAACCATATTAATTTAATACCTAATAATGATAACATTGATAACAAATATAGAAAAATTCACTTAACTATAATAATGTTCAAAAATAACGAGATTAGTTTAGATACCTATATCTTACTATCTTAAAATACAAGCACCTACTATAATATGCTGTAAAAATACTTTTGATATTAACGATAAAAGTAATAAGTACCCTATATAACTAAAAACATTTTTACCTAACTATCAACTATTCATTATTTTAATAAAAAAATATTATTTTACATACCTATAGAGTTGTGATTATTGAGGCTTTAATTTTTTCCTTTTAACATATATTTAGTAAACAGAAACAGAAACAAAAATTATAATTACTAATAATTTTCATCGAACCTGTAGATACATATATTCATAAAAATATAGTTTACATTAACACATACAAATTAAATCATACGCTTATTAAAAAGTACCAAACTAACAACACTACAATTATTATTATAGTAACATAATCGATGATAATTGTCAAGTTTTTAAAATGCGCTGCCATTAAGTTCCAAAGTAAAAAAAGTGTTAATATAGGACGCTGATATCGCCCAGATTACTATTATCTATTCATTAAGTAGGTACTAAGGTACCTAATCTACCTAGCATATAATTTATACATTACCTACATAAGTAGTAAGCACTAAGCAGTATAATAGTTATCAAAATTGTTATTGTCCTTTGCTTAAATCGACCAATATTCTATCAAATTATACACGATAAAAAGATAAAAATACATTTAAAGAATAAATATACCTACACAATTTTATTCAAAGTCATACAATAAATGTATTAATTTTACAAAATGTAATATATTTTATTCTTATTTATTGTATCCATCATCACTAATAATTAATAACTTACAATATGGTAGGTACTAGGTTGAATTTATTTTTTCTGAAAACATCACATTTATTATATTATAGTAGTTAAATCAACTTTCATGTAATTTTTTTTTTTTTTTTTGGCGTTTACAAGCCATTAAGACTTTTTATTGCTTCCATAAGTTCTCTCCAAACTCCTCGATCATCAGCATCTTCAATTCTTATAGTTCATAGGTTTTTCAAATTATTGTTAAATTTATCAAACCAACATTGGAAAGGTCTGACCCTTGGTCTTTTTTCGTTGGGTTTATTGATTAATAAGTATTGATAAGTATTAGTCTGTCCTTTGCCTGTCATAGCTTTCAGGCATTTTCGTATGTTTGGTCTGTTAAAAACTCTTTTGATCTCTTCATTTTTTCTCTTTTCTTAATTTCTTGATTTTGGGTTTAGTGAATAGTGTGAAACCATATACTTTCTTTAAGATTTTTTTATTAAATATTAAGAGTTTTTGCTCTTCGCATTTCATTGTTGCCCAGGTTTCGCATATATACATAACAATAGGGTAAGCAATATACAGCTTTATTTTGGTTTCTCTTGAAAGTAGCCTCGATGAGTGTATACTTCTCATTGTATGATATTCTCTATTGAATGTGTCGAGTTTCAGCCTTAGATACTTCGTTATGCATATTATTTCTTTAGTTTATATTAACTACCAGATATTTTAAATTTTCAATTTGATTGAATGAGTAGCTTCGCATTTTTTTCTACAATAGTATAAAATATTTATATAATTATATCATATATTGTTGTTATTAATTTTTAAGTCAATACCAACTTATCGTAGAACACTAAAATAAGTCTAAATTATAAATAAGGAGTAACTTAAAATTAATCTATATATTTTGAAAATGTCATTGTGTATATAAATAAAATATACGATTATTATAATTGTAATAATTCGAAAAACTTTCTGACTACCCACGAATATTTTTAATCGACATTAGCACTTAAATACTTATCTATTCAATTTTATCAAAATCTGAACTTAAAATGTTTAAAAAGCTTGCAATTTATGAGAAACCCAATATTAAATGTTCAAGTTTTTTAATCGAGCAAAAAGTTTTTTTTATTGATATTTATAGGAAAAAATTGAAAATATCAAATGTCTATGACTTAGAATTAAAGTATATTAAAAATTATACCATGTACTTGTATAGAAAATGCTTTTATAGGTAACTGAATATCGCAAAAATCTGTGTATTATTTTATAGTTAAAAATTGCATAACTATTGTTTTTTCCTCCTGGAATTATAAAGAAAATATTCCTATAAAATATATTTTTTATGAGTATCTGAAGTTTATAATTGATAATATTGAATATTTCACGTAAAATAACGATTTATAATCTAATGATTTTCTAATGTATATAGTTGTAATTCAAAAATAAATAACCGTAAATATTAAGATATTTGATATTTTTTCCAAATTTCTATATGACCAATTGCCATTTCAGTGGCATAATGTTTATGGCACAATAAAATGATAACAATAAGTGATAAATACAAATCATTTCATATTATGTTAAATATTAACAGTAACAGATTAGCCTCAAGAAAATAAAATATGGAATTTTTAGTGTTTGCTTTATTTTTGAATTATTAGAAGAAAAATTAATATGAAAATAAAAATACTCACAATTTTTGTTATCAATTAACTTATACTATCGCTGTATTTGGGACTTGGGTCCGTATTAATTTCTTATTATTTTTGACGTACTCTACGTATAAGTTTACGTATAAATCAATGATTACATAGCGAAAATAATTTGAATTTAATTTTATAACAACGTTTTTTTTATTATGCCATTGAAATAGCACTGGGAACTGAAAGGGTTAAAACGGAATTTGTTGTAAGCTAAAGAGGTAAAATAATGTTGATTTTTTTATGGTTTCAAATATATTTTTGGTTACCTATACTACGTCAAAAATAAATATAAGTCGGCGGAGATGTTTCATGAAAAATTATACGACCAATATTTTGGAAAAAGAAAATGTAACAGGTACTTGAAACGAAAGGTACATTTGCACATAATTCCCAAATAATAATTGGCGGAAATGTCTTTTTACAAAAATAAATTTTAACGGAAACGAGAATGGTCAATGCGAAATTGGTTCCCAAGTCAAATAAAGTGTTCGAATCGGTTCCCAAATAAAATTACTTATAAAGTTATAACTTATAAGTATATATAACTGATATACTAATATATTGTATTAATCGATTATAATATTTTTTAGGTTTTACGATATTTGGGAAAGTTTAAAAATATAATTTTATATCAAGTAAATTGATTATGTTTGTTTATCGTCACTCGTCAGCATCAGTCTTACAACAACTAACCTAATCTCACGTCAAGATTGCCAAATTTCGAACTTACAATTCGTTAAAAATGTATGTGATAAATTCATACTACACTAATTTTTTATTACCACTTAATTATTATTATTGATGAAAGAAAAAAATATTTTTATTGACCAACACATATGTAGCGTATAATTTGTTGGTCTATTATTATTAATATATTAAACAACATTTTTAACCATACCTAAGTATTATAGATAGTGTTTGAAGAATAAAATATTTCATATATCTAAAATAATTCTAGACAGTCTTAACTTCTGAATCTGAGTAAAATGGGAAGGAAATTTTTGCTGATTGAAAAGTATCATAATAATTTAAAAAGTTAATTTAACAAGATTGTATTATCATGAAAGCTTGCAGCCTGCAGGAACCAATTCATATGTTACCTGTAAACAACCGGTAACCAATTCGACAATTGGGAACCAACTCGTAGTAGTTAATAAATAAAAAGGCGATTTTTAATGGCTATTTTAAGAAGCAAAATTTGTATAATCTCGTCGTCGCCATCCGTGATCTTTGTAGAGGCGAATCCAAAAAATTTTCCATAGGGGGAGGAAGCGTAAAGACAGAAAAAAAATAAATAGCCATCAGTTAAAAAAAGCTTGGCCCAATAACATCTCATTTTTTATTTTATTTAAGGGGGACACATAGAAAGCAAAAATAAAAAAAGGTCATCAGATAAAAAAAACAAAAAGCTTGGCCCAATAATATTTTTTCAAATTTAATTTTGTGGGCGCCCTCTTCGCCCCCCCCCCCCCGCCACTGAATCTTTGGTTAGTCATAACTCATAATAATACTTATTAAACTATAAATGTGGTTCAATATGTAGGTATTCTATTGTTTATAGACTATAGCAGTGATTCTCAATCAGTATATGAAGTCACAGACATATAGTTAAAACTATTAATTATTTAAACTATTAATCTAGGAACCCCCTTTTTTGTATATCCTGATACTCGTGTGCTAATGAATTTTTCGTACTGTCAAACATGCAGCTGCAAACCCCAGGGTCTACAGGCCATCAATTGGGACCACTGGACTATAACATATTTACGCGTATCCTTAAGCTATTAAAATTACGCACAAAAATATTTTAGTATATAGTGACAATAAATAATGTTAATAAACTAGCGAAAAATTAATAGAATTCTAGTACTCTATATATGTACCTACAATCATACTTAATTTGTTTACGATAATATTAGATATTTAGTAGTATTAACTGACACCTGACAGTTTCTGTTCAGGATCGTTTTTGGTGTTTAATCATTTAACCAAGGGCGTCATTTGGGGAGATTTGAGGATTTGCGGTTGCACCCTACACTTTTAAAATAGTCCTAATTGGCCTGCGCCCTGTTGAGATAATGCTCAAAATTAAATCTTCTTAAATTGTATTTTTATTTTTAAATTGATTTTTACTATTTATATTGATGCAATGATTCGGTTCATGCGATGTATGGAAATAATTGAGAGCAGGATAATGTACATATACGTGTATCTATTTTTATATAGCCTGGTGAAATTTCAAAATGAGCTGTTTGAAACCTTGCACACCCAAACAAAAATCTAAAATGACGCTTTTGAATTGAATATAGAATTCAAGTTCAAATATTTAACACGTCCATTGCGGTGAGCTATTCAATAACAATATGCGCGCTCTAATTCTACTGTATAATAGAGTGACCTAGTTTCCCTTCTTTTAGTAAGGGTATTCTTAAAAAAGTATAAAACAATTTTACTTTTGATATCCCAACTAGCTATTTTTTTTATAGCAGTTAATGAGCTAAATTCACTTTTCTGCCAGAAAAGATACAGAAGTTTAAAATAAAGCATTTAACTACTCCAAAATATGATGAGTGTTATTACTTACTTAATACTACCTACCTTATATTAATAAAATAAATATAATTACAATATAAATAAATAATAAAATGTATAGCTACCTAATCATTACAACATTTAAAACATACATTACAATGGCCTACACAATGACGAGATACACTCGATAACAACTGGACAAACAATAATTAAACTAGAAAAATAACATAGTGATTATTGGTTAAGTTTACTCAAATTCGAAATTATTAATGAGAATATTTCCAATTCTAATTTGTTTGATTATAACGCAGTATAACTTTAAGATAACTAATGAGCTATAGTAGAACTATGTAATAGTAACACAAATTAACACAATAGTTAGCTTGAAAACTATAATTTGCTTAAATAAACTAATATAATATTGATTAGTTACTAATTTTATTAAATTAAAGAACTAGGTAGGTAAGTAAATATATCTACTATAGGCTTTAGCTGCTAAAAAAATGTTTTTACATACTTATCTTATAATTAAGATGTTAATTATTTATAAATGAGTGTATATTATTATTCAAAGCCATATCCTATGTATAAATACACCTTAAATTTTAATTTTATCAAAAGGTTTAAAGAATTATAAAATACTATAATTTATTTAGTTTTAAAAACTGTATAGACATAAGTATATCTTTTGTAAAACAACGAGAAATAAAAAATAAAAATGTAATGTTGTATAGTTTGATTGCAATCAATTATAATTAAATTAATTATACTTTCCGCATAAAACACTTTTTTCTATTTTCTACAAAAACTATTATAATTTTATAACAAAATAATGTATCAGTTAAATATTTATTTTAATGTAAATGAAGTAAATCGTTCTAAATATCATAATAGATATAAAAACTAAAAACACAATAAATGTAATGTGTATTTTTATTATTTTTTATGAAAAAAAAAATACAGGAATAATATAACTAATACTAAAGAACTAATATATCATAAATAAAATAGGTTTTAATATTGATAATTATAATAAATTGTGAATTTTTTTTAAATTACACCATATCACCAAGAATATATCATTAATAACTTAAATACTATAATAATCAGTTACTTAAATTAATCAAAATAATAATTAATTAAAATAAATACAAATTAAAAACGTTTATCTTTTTTTTTAAATATCCCTGTAAATAAGTTGTGCTTCAAGCAAATTACAAGATTTATCTATAGCACCATATTAAACCAAAACTATAACAATTAAAACATAAATATAATATTGTACACAAACATAAGTACAAAAACAAAATTCAAAGCTGTACTGATACCTACTTTTGAATGAATACTGAATATTTATAAAAAAAATAATTTTATATTGTTATATAATAAAAAATCATAAAAATATAAAAATTATAAAGTAAATATCAAATTCTAGGAAGTCTTGAAATTGTATAAATGAAACTTTAGTGTAACTAACAAGTTATATAACTATTATAGCGTAATATGATTAATATTAAAATATTATAATAAAATAAAGTAACATGACGATACAAAGAAAGCAATATTATGTCTAACTAAAATTGGTTGATACATAATTTTAGAGCTAAACTGATAACTAGGGCCCGGATATATATGCATTTACATGTTTTTTTCTGAAAAGTCCAAAAAATAGATAGGTAAGCTACAAGTTTGATTTTAAGTCAATAGATCCTAAATATAAAGTTTTATTTTGCATATTTTGACATGTACTGTATATTTTTGTATTTTTATTATACAGTTTTTAAATGCAAATATGTAATATTTTACTTATTTTAATTAAAATAACGTATTTATAGTTATATTTATAGTCCATGTAATTTGAAAAAATTGTTTCTTTATCTTATCTGACACCTATTAGGACAAGTAGTAATCTGTTATTAAGTAGATTTTAGTGAATCATATATTCATCGTGATTCGAGTGTGCATAACTTTCATTTGTTTTATTTATACTTAATGAAAATAAAAGAAATTTTTTTAATTGATTTTTTGCATATTTTTGTATATTTTTGCATATTTAAAGTGCATATTTGAATGATTATCAGTACATAAATGCATGCATATTTAATACATTTTTAGTGCATATAATTCCGGGCCCACTGATAATAATCAATTAATATTTAAAATAAAATAAATCAAGTATTGATTATATATATAATGTACAAAATTCATCTTTGTATTTAAGTTCAGTAGAATATTTTTAAATAATAATTTATAGTTGAAAATAATATAAAAATATTACAAAAAAGTTTAAAATTACATACATTTTTTTTAAAAGTATTTTAAATAATTCCTAATCTAACCTATGCTAATTGCTCAATTCATACCACTGGCCATTTTTATTGTATATTAAAAATTCAATAATCAGAATATTTACCTATTCCATTAATAATTGTCAAAAAACAAAATATAATATTATACTAGAAATAAGTGACTGCAAATTAAGTATTTCCTTCTTTAATTTTTTTAAATAAAAATAAGATGGAACAATAAAGTAGGAACATTGAAAAAATTAATTTAATTGTCAATCAACATATGAATAGCTTCATTTGGACTGGCATATTCAGTTGATCCACTAACAAAACCTGAAAAAATAAACACAATTCGTAACTGTTTAATTAAAATAATTAATAAGCTAAATAACAGTTAAATTTATTTTTAATTTGAATTATACACTTGGATAGGACATATAGTGTCTTATTTAGTATACCTACCTAAATATTTAATTTTTACATATTTTAATTGAATATAAAAATTAAAAAATATATCTAATAGAGTATATAAGTAAAATAATACTTGTAGTTTAATGTTTAGAAACATAAATACATTTGTATATTAAACATTTGTTAAATTGTGCACATAAAAAAAAAAAAAAAAAAAATAGAAATAGAAAAAGTTGTCATACAAGAAGTAGTACAAGGTACTAGAACTTGTCAAGAATTTTTTTTTTTTTACTTTATGAAAAAAAATCTACCTCAGGCCCTGCAAAACCTCCCGCTGGCACTAGTTCCGTGCAATTTCCAACAGGACAGGTTTTACTGTATTTTGTGATAATATTATTTTTTTTAATTATGTAATAATGTACATAATTTATGGAAATATAACTTATAACTTGCATGTTAAGAAATGCAATATGTAATCAAAATTTTCTATTTTTATGAAAACTGTAAAACATTGTCAAATATTGTTTTATTATATAAATGTCTTTAATATAAAATCACTAAATCAATGAAAAATAGTAAAGTATGAATAAAAAAAATCAAAAAAAATCTAAGTAATTTATTTCTATATTTTATTTTATATTGTATAAAATAAAAAAAAAATAAATATTTGAAATGAGTTATTTATGCTAAATTTCCATAATTCCAAAACAATATTCCTCATTTAAATTATTTTTTTATGGGAAAATCAAACAATACTAAATATTTAAATTAAATTTAAAGTCAAAAAATAATTTTTCTAGCGTATCAATACTACTGTAGAAGTTGAATACAAAAACAAATTTAAATAATTTAGTATAAATATGCTATAAATATTACGTAAAACTATTATATTAACAGTGTTGAAATGAAATTTAATGAAAGAAATGTTACTATGATTGTAACACCTTTTGTAATTTTGCTAGAATTTTTTCCAAGTAATAAATATAATATTATTTTTGACGAATAAACCATAAAATATAAAGTATGAAAAAATATCTAATTGAAATTATACCTTTTTTCTACTTATAATTTATGATGACAGTAAATTAATATAAAGAAATATCTATATACTATTTATTTTTATATAACATCAGTAACAAATTTAATTTTCCTATTAAAAAGTAGATTTCATTCAAATTTTATTTGTGTAATAAGTAAAATAACTTTATTACTGTTTAAAAGTAACACAACACTAAATATTTAACATTTAAAGCATTTAATATTACAATAAAATCAATAAAAAAAATTAAGTACCTAATATTTTAAAACTATATATTTTAAAGCTCTAAATAATATAAATACACAACATAAAGCATAAATACAACTTAATTAAATAAACCCTTGAGCTACCTGTTTCTTTAAAATGGGATGTGTTGTTTTGTACTTCTTCAAAATTGTGATCTAATAATGTGCTAAAAATAAACATTTAGCTTAATTTTTTAAACTATCACTAACAAATTTAGATTTAAAGGTTTAAATAATATTAAAAATATTAAATATTTTTTACAATTAAATAATAAATATCTATATGTGTGTTAACAATTAGAGTATCACTAAATATTTATAAGAAATATAAATCTGTTTTTTTCTAAAGTAGATAAAATGTAAATAATAGTACCTTATATGTACTTTAGAAAAATTTCAAACTTTTAACCTTAAAATTTGCACATGAAAACTTACATTTGTAAAAAACCTTCAAATTATATACTTAGATTTAAATATATTTTTAATCAATACAATTTAATTTACAAATTAATTGATTGAGAATAAGTTGAAGACTGAAGTTGTAATATATACTATCACCTATATATATATATTTTTTTTTTCATTAAAAATAATGAAATTAGTACTTAGATTTACATTCCAATAATATAAATCTAAATAACATAGATCCAACTTACAAAGATTATTTTCAAATTGTATTATGTGTACATCTATATAATCCAAAAAAAAAAATGTTTAAAAAAATCTGTTGTTAAATATTATGTTAACATAATTAATTTAAAAAAAAGAACTCTCAGCTTCATTAATAATTCATAAGTTTAAATAAATACATAATTGGTGGTAATAAAATTTTTAGTATGATACATAAAATTGCAATAAGAATTAAGGTACATTTAATTTAAGTAAAAAATGTATTTGTAGTATTTTCATATAAGAAAATATTTTTTTAATTTTTTTTTTAAATAAATACTCATTTAATGTCTTAATATAATAGCAGATGCCAGATAGCAATATCTTGCTTTCATTTAATGGGCGTTGAATTAAAATAAAAACTTGAAAGTTTAAATAAGTTACAAAATTAACTTCCATCCAAATAAGCAATCTAAAATTGGTATTACATGTATCAAAATGTATATAATAACATAAAATCCAAAACTTTAAACTTTTTTCAAGATTACAATAATTTTATTTATATATATAAAAAAAAAAAGTGTAAATAAAACTAACATTTTATTTTTTTTTAATTAAAGGTGATTTTATAGAAATATGTACCTAACTAAATCTTATTTTTAATATGTAATGCACTATACCAGTGTTTCTCAAACTATGGGTTTATGGGTCACGATCCATTGGTGGGTCTCAGTCAATTTTTGGTGGGTCACGAACAATTTTTGAATTATATAGATTCCAGGAAATGTATGTTAAATTAATATTGAATATATTATTATGTTATATTATTGTTATTAAAAGTAAATTTGTAAAAATATATTGATTATAAACCTATACAATAATAAAAATAGTTATTTAAACCTAATAAAAGTACCTAATAGACAAATTTTGTTAAAAAAATTAAAATTATATTATATTATTGTTGTTATTATATATTTTTTAAATTATTTAAATTTTTTTTATTTAACTAATTTTTGAAAAATGAAACCATGTGGGTTCATGAAAGATTTTTCGGATGAAATTTGAGTCGCAGTACTAAAAAGATTAAGAACCACTGTACATAAGTCATACCTTTGTTATCTCGACTACCAGCACGAACACTAATTTCTTTATCTCAACTACCTATAATACTTTTATTTAATACACAATATGCATTTAATATTTATATTATTTTATTAATTCAAAATATTAAATATTAAATCATCACAAAATGTATCACAACGGTGGAAAGTTATAAATAAAATATTTAAAATTATCTAAAATTATTACATTATTAAAGGCCAATTTTCAGAAATATGTATAATTTACTATATTGTGTATATATCCAGCATTGGTCAGTTTATTTATATCATATTCATACAAATTTTTTTGAGGCATTGGGAAGTAGTCAAGATAATAGATAGGTTATCTTATTAACTTACTAAATTAAAATTTACTTACTTGAAAAACTTAATTTTTTATTTGATTTCAGAATTTTTTGACATAATAAATGAATTACACACATTAATGCAGAACCATATGCAAATAATCTGAATGTTTGAGCTCCACCATAATTATCATACAAGCAGCCGCCTATTAAACTACCCAAAGACACACCTATGATAGCAATTACACAATATTAATTATTTTACATTGATACATTTAATAATAAATTAAAATACTTACCTATACCTTCAAAAACTCCACCAACAAGACCTATCATAGTACTTTCGCTACCAGGTAGTGCAAGTATACTTGCATATGACATAAGTACTGCATATGCTAACCCAAAAGTAATTCCATTAGTTAACTCAATAACGAGTACCCAAATTGGATTTGTAAGAATTGAATAAGCAAAAAATCTAAACGCAAAAACTCCTAAAATAAGAGACATGCAATTTAAGTGTCCTAAACGTTTCATAATCCAGCCTGACCAGAAAAAGAATGGCACTTCACCACCAAAACATTGAACTCCTGAAATTAAACCTTGTAGCGTTTTAATCCAATGTTGAGTATTACACTTATTCATGGAAGCTACATCTTCAATGTACCTAAAATAAATGAAAACTATAAAAAATGATATATGTTTATACAAATTAGTAACTAAATAATAAACTAACAATCATAAATATTTTATTTTAAATGTCTCAAGCATTGAAAGTAAAACTTTCATGAATTAAATAGACAAAAATGTAGTCATATTATCAGTGTTTAATCTAGGTATACTTCAGGGGGAATTTCCCCCCCTGAAATTTCTTTTGCACCCCCTGACAAATACAACTTTTAACAAAATGTAATTATTTATTAAATGCACAAATGTACAATATGCATTAGGATTACCGCACCTAATGGTGTTCATTAAAACATAATTTATTTGTATCAATGTTTTTTTTACCATAAGCCAGTATAGATACTATCTACTGACATTCCTTCCTAAAATATCTTAATTGTAAATTATAATAACTAATAATAGGTTTAATTCATAATACTAAAATGTATCACCATTCACCAATGAGAAAAAAAGTGAACTCCTCCAGAGAAATTGTCTGGATTCAACACTGCATGTTATAAACTAGATAATAATAAATCCAATAAAATTAAGTTAAACCATTGACTAAGTATACTTAATTTAGGCAATTGTATATTGCTATTTGCTATAATAATTCATTAGATATTCTTAAAATTAATTACTTACCAAAAAAGATATTGCCAAATCATTCCAGTGCAAATACCTACTACTATTGCCCAAGTAAGAAATCCTAGTACCTTGACTTCCATTAGCAGTTTTCCTAAGTCTTTAAATATATTAGTTGATATTTTTGTTTCTGTCACCTTTTTATATAAAGTTTTTAATAATATAAATATATATATTAGATATCAATAAATTGTTACAGTTCTTAAATTTGATTAAAGAAATAATTACCTTAAGTTTTGATGCAACAAAAAAGTTGCAAAGTAGTACCAGTAAACATAAAAAGTATATTGGTAAATAATTTTTATAAACATCACTGGAGCTAAAAAGATCCAGGAGCCATCCAGCAAGTATTGAAAAAATTCCCCATCCAATAGCTCCCCAGCATCTTTGTTTGCCATAAAGATTAGGCTTGTTACCTATTATTAAATAAATACATTAAAATTTAAAATGTTAGGTATTATGTAAAATACATTTATTTAAATCCTTACCTAGTTGATCAAAGCAAATAGAATCGCCAAGACTATAAATAATTGCTTGACCTACCCAAAACAGACTAACCAACAGGAAAAATATCCAAAATTGATTTAACTCCAAGACACTGCCTTTAAACTTTTGGGGAGTTATTAAATCCATAATGACTTCATTAGAACATTGTACTTTGCATTGTGATCTTAAACTAGTATCACAAACAGGTGTGTGGTTAACTCCTTGAGATTCATTAAAATAGAACTTTGCAGATTTTATTTTAAAATAGAAACAATTATTAACCTATAATTTATAAAATTATTGAATGTTATTATTAAACCTACTGGATCAATATATATGTTAATGAGTATAAAAAATTATACACTTACATCAACAGTATGTATTATATCTAGCAACACAAATAAGTAAGCATAATCATCATTATAATAATTCTTAATTGATTTTGTTTTAACTATTTGTGAACTGTTTGGTTCATAATAATTTATGGTGTTTACATTGGGCAACTTTGATAATGAGCAATACTCCTTAAATCCCCAATTTGAACACATTTCTTTACGGAAATGTACACTGCTATTACATTTTAACTAAAATCAAATAGATAATCAATGCAATATTTAATAAAAAGATAAATGAACATGAATAAAATCTAAATAAAAAATAGATCAAATTAGAATATGAACATAATATTTACCTCACATCCAAATGTACCACCAATATTTTCCTTAACTCGATTTATGTTACATTTTGACAAAGGTACATCATCATCAAGACAAACATTTAAATATGTGGCATCATGACAATTAAGTTCCACTGTAGTATTCAAAGGTATTTCAGGAACAAACATAAGTGAAAATGCTGTTAAGCCGGATAACAATATGAATGTTAAAAAAATTAATTTTTTAACCCGAAATTGATCCACAATTGCACCAATTATAGGCTTTATTATTAAACTTAAAATTGGTAAAATACTAAAGATAGTACCAACTACAACTGTAGAGTATCCCAGTTGTTTTGCAATTGTTGGTAAAAAAGAAGTCATTGGTGCAACACCTATAAAAAATTTTTTTCAAATTATTAATAAATTAAAAATGTGAGAAAATCAATTAGGCAAAATATACATGAAAGGGTTAAAGAAACAAATGCAGTTTAATACCCATGCTCATCCCAGATTTTTCCTCTTCAAAATATATTTCAAGATATTGAATTTAAAAATGTTAGCGTTCTTCACAATAGAAGTTTTACTTGAATTTTATTTTTTAAATGATTATTTGATATTTCTTTTACATTATTTATTATTTGATAAGTAGATAGAACTATTGGAGGAGAGGGGACAAGAAAATATCTAAATTAAATTTTAAAGACCCAATAGTAAATTACGTTTTAAAAATACAACATAAAAAGCAAGACAAGATACTTAGTTCAAATATTATGATTGTTATGATGTATTCGAAATTAAGTACCTAATGAAGCTACCAATTTTTTTGAAAACAAATTTGTAGAACTTTCAAATAATACACATTCAAGATTTGGGCCAATTAAACGCCATAATATTTAAAATATTTAAAAATACAATTAAGGAGGCTAATTTGGGGGCACTAACTTTTCGCCCCCTAAGGCCTCTAGACGACGTGCCTACAGTCCCGACATAAAAAGAATAAACATTTTAAATACTTTCAGATTAATTCCTTTAAACAAATATTTTGAGAAAAAAAATACTAATTATAACTAGTACCTATTGATGATTTAACATTTTTAAATGTCTCTTCAATCAAACAACATACATTATTTTAAAATGTATTTATGTTTTAAAAAATATTTTTATCAAGTAATTTCAGGTCCAAATGAAACAACTTTGTTTAAAAAAATAAATAGATTATCGTTAGGTATGATACCTATTTTAAGTTTTAGATTTTTAAAGTTGGGATGGTATGATACGGAGATACTGGATACTCGCTGAAGTTTTGACTACTATTCTAACCATCTAAACTTTAAATAGGTAGGTACTTTACTTTAAAAAAGGCGAAAGATTTTTACGATTTAAAAGGGAACCGGGAATCTTTAAATACTTATAGACTATAGTTCATAAACTACTCGTCCGAATTTCAATTTTTATGTACCTATAAAATACTCCGAAAAACTTCAGTACATAAAATTAATATACCTATGTATCATTCAAAAAAGTAAAACTTATAAATATCATTTTTTTTAAAAAAAATTTATTTCATTTAATTTGAAATTATGTAAAAAACTAAAAACAAATATTTTTACAAATGTTAATAGATTTTGAAACAATGAGTTGTATTTGATAAAAGAATAAATCCCGGACAGTTGACAAACATTACACATATTATGAGATATATCATAATATATATATTAGCATATACTCTAGGAAATCATGAATATCATACCTTAATACCATTAATTATAAATAGGTACTAATATTAATTTAGTATATTATGCATAATTCATATGAATATTTTCTTCGATATTTTTCTTAATGAAATATTATTTAATTTTACTTTCTATCAAATGAATAATTAACAAAATTCCAAAGATAATTCATAGTTTCATACCCCATACGCAACAATCACGACTATACCATGGCTAAATACTTATGTAGGTAAAACAGTAATAATACTAAAATTCGTTCTATATATATATATATGCATATAAAAAAGATTGAAAAACCGGGCCAGAATATGAAAATTTATTATATGATTATTATATGAAAATATGACGTCAGCCGGTAAGGATTTTTATCGGCCAAATCTTGAAACTAGTTACAACCCGGGTATAGACATTGTCCGATATTGATCAAATCGGGCGACATAGGCCTTGAACACGATCTCCAGGGGAGTGTGGCATACATTATCATTTAAATAAATAATATCAATATTATCACAGAATAATATATTGTTGAAAATTAGTTGAAACCGTTGAAAGAACACTGAATAATAATTAAAAAATGCAACTAATGCAATTTCAAATTTACTCGTTTCTAGCAATGTTTTTTTACATAAGACCCGTGAAAATCAATCGGGCAATGGATTGTTTAATGTTTTATAATATCGTAACAAATAGGGATACACGTTAACAACATCTAGTCAGATTACGGAGACGGTTTTAACTTTAAGAATACCTAAGTATTTAGCCATGGACTATACAATATGATATCTACTGTTACGATATCATGGTTTTATCATACCACATGGACAAGGATAATAATTTAAGGTTATCATAATTTAACTGCTTATATTTTCATTCTTAACAAAAACAATACTTTTTAAATAAACTTTTACTTTAATTTTATTATACATTAGTAAAAAATACTTCAATTCTAAATATTAGTAGAGTTATAAAATAAATACAAAACAATGCCTAAGTCAAAGAGAGATAAAAAGAGTAAGTTATTCTGGTAATCTGTTATATTAAACGTCATTATAGGTTCATAGAAAAGTTAAACTAATTCAAATTATAACAAAATTAAATTATAATACTAATTTTTTACATTTTTCGTAGTATGATTAGTTAAAATAATATTATATCCAAAATGAAAATTAATAATTTGTGAATTGCATGAATTGTATTCAAAATGAAATAATTTGTTATTAATAACTATATTTTAATTGAGATCATCTTATACATTGTGTTATTGAATAATGATAAATAGGTATTTATTTAAATATTTTACGTTTTATATTAGTTTCATTAACCAAGACTACCAAATTGGGCTCTAAATTGAAACAATCCGTCATGGAAAATCTACGTGAAGCTGTTGACGAATATGAACACATATTTGTATTTCATACTGATAATATGCGTAATGGTAAATTAAAAGATGTGCGAAATGAATGGAAAGATAGCAGGTACCTAATTTCTATTTAAATTATACTAAAATAATTTTTTTAACATGTAATTTTTTACATAAAATATTTTAGATTCTTTTTTGGTAAGAATAAAGTGATGTCATATGCTCTAGGAAAATCAGCTCAAGATGAAATTCAAACTAATTTACATAAATTAGCTCTTAAAATTGAAGGGCAATGTGGACTGTTATTTACAAATAGACCAGTTGATAAAGTTATAGAGTAAGATAACTATTTTATTTTATTATTTATATGTAAATATATCTATTAGCTTTTTTATGCATGAAATATCTAATTTTAAGGTGGTTTGATAACTACTCAGAGCCAGAATTTCCCAGGGCCGGTATCAGAGCTGCATACACAGTAACATTAGATGAAGGCCCTTTACCAGACACATTTATTCATTCAATGGAACCTTCATTGAGACAACTTGGTTTACCAACAAGTTTACAGCGCGGTGTTATTCAAGTTATTAAAAGTCATACAATATGTAAAGAAGGAAGCATTATTACACCCGAGCAGTCTAGACTACTCGTAAATAAAACACATTAGAATTTATAAATATTAAACTTAAACAAATAATTAATAAATTAATATTTTGTTTTTAGAAACTTTTTGGACATAAAATGGCACAATTCAAAATAGTTTTAAGGTATGTTTGGTCTAAAGATGGACAATTTCGACCTTTGCTTGATGAGTAACTTAATATTTCAAACAGTAAAATTCATGCAAAAACATCATAAATTAATTTAATTTATAAGATGGTAAAAAAAAATGTACTTGATAAATTTGAAATATACTCAATTGTTTTAAAAATTGAATAATAATTTTTGTTTTAATTTTTTCTATTTTTAATCTTATAGAAATTAAAATATCTATGTAATCTAATTTTATACAATAGTCTTAAATATATAATACTTATTAATACAAATAACTAGTCTGTATAAATTTAATATTAAAAACCATTAAATAATTGACAGCTACTATTTATATATTACTCATCAATTAATATTGATATATTTTAAAAGTAAATTAATTTATGTAATATACAGAATGCATCACAAAACTTTGTTGATTGTTATTATTCAATTTACATAATACAGTTAGTATATAATGGAAACTAATAATATACAATATACCTACATATATAATTTAAATTAATAGATTAACAAAAAACAAATGTCCTGTCAAATAGATAACTATTTTGCTGTAGATTAGGTATTGAATTTATCTTATAAAACAGGTCATTGTAATGGATATGTTAAAATTTGAATTTAATAATAAATTATCAAATATAATAAAAAACAATGCTGAGCTAAAATGATCAACGTTTTGGTAATCAAACCATACATTTTTAATAATATTTTTATTAACTCACAATTTTAACTTCTATTTATCCTGATTATTATTTTATTTTTTTTAATTAAATATTTTCAATGTTTATCTCCCAAAAGTACCAGAAATTTCCTTATTAGTCAATAATCAGACCATTTTTCTACTATAAAAACTTTAAGTGTCTTCTAACACAAAAAAGAAAATACCATAACAAAAAATCAAAATGCTCTTCGTTTAACTTGACTTAAAATTTATATCCAGACTGTTAAATTTGTTAAATACAATTTAAAAAAGAAGTTAAATTATTTTGTCTATAATGTTTTATATAGTTAAACACTAATTTCAAAATGTTTTGTTAAAAATATAATCTTACAAAATTAGGTTTGAAAACTATTATAAACTATTCAATAAAAAATTTGACTTTAATAACTATATTGACTATTCCTGATATTTGAATACATTATTTTAGTGTGGTGGTCATTCTGTGTTTTGCATAATTATACTTATACCAGTATACTTACAATAAATACAATAATAGTGACTTATTTAATATTTATTAGAACAAACTATTACTTATCGTGGAATCCATTTCCACAAATGTTGTCTCAATCATACAAACTTACCATACATTTGTGTTCTGTAATTTTATTTTTTGTAGTAACCTAATTAAAGAGAGAACTAAACTTTTATAAAACTAAATGATAAGACTTCTATCTATGATTTCATATAGGTTTTCTTTCATGATATTTTAATATTTTTAATCAAATTATGAGCACCTTTCTAAAATACCTGTGAAAGCAAAGATATTATTCACACGCTTTAAGTTTTAAAGGTAGTTTCCTATTAAAAATTAAATTTGTAGCTGCTGAACACAAATTTATTATGTTGTACATTTTAAGACAAAGACAGCATATATGGATGTGGCGTCCTCATAACTTTCTTACACCAATTATTAATAGGACATTGAACCTGCATGTTTTGTTGTAAACTAACAAACACACAGAGTAAATTTTAAAATACTTATAACTTGCTTTAAAACTAAAATATCCATAAAAAATTTTAATTGTTTTTTTAAATTACATTCGTATAACACAGTAATTCTTATAAGTTATAGCAATTAGCTTTCATTATTTTAAAAAATTAAATTTTTTTATAACATTGATGTATAAAAATTGAATCTTGAACCAATACTGTATAAGTTATAATTATTAATTAGTAATAATAGTATCTAAAGTTTAGATGATTGGTATAATAGAGGTATAACCTTGCAAAATGTATGTTCGATTCTAATGTAAATCTTAGATTTTTATAACTAGAGTTTGGGATATTGCATTTTCCTTTTTTTTTTTTTTGTAATATCCATAGAATACTCTAAATAATTTAAATATAAAATTTAATTTTGTACACTTTTGCATATTTGAACATTTTATAGCGTATTGGTGCATTTTTCAGTTTTTTTTAATTTTATATGATCATAATTTTGTTAACTAATATTGTATTTGTAACATGTTAAAAATAATTTTCTAAAATAGTTTAACTGTGGACAAATAATTTTACAATTTTATTTATCTAATAGTAGTTGAAGATTTTACTATTAATATATTTGACTATTTTAATTTATAACATTGGAAAAAATTTCAATTAGAAACTTAATAACATCTTGACAAAATATTATGTTTATAACATTTGTGTATTTTTTCAAATACTTTGTTTCATTTCGTGAGTTTAAAAAATGCCTAAAATATCAAATAATAGTCTTACGAGCCCATTCATGACTGAATCAGAAGAAAATGTATTCTATTAAAGCTTTGTAAGACATAAATCAGCAGAGCAGTAACAACAAAATCAAAATAAAATTGTTTAACAATTAGTATTTACTTCTATTCATTAAAAAATTTCTTTAAATATTATCTAAAATTATAAATTTTTTATGGAAAGCATACAAATTTTAAATGATGCACAAAGATATGTTTATCTTATTTTTCAAAACAATTTTAATGGTATAAATTTCCTGAATCATTGGTTAAATAGAAGAAAAAATCTATTAAAATCTACTTTAAATTAATACAAAAATTATTCAACACTTAAAGTTATATGTAAAAAAAGGTCTACAATAGAGCATTTTATTTTGGCTGTTAAACAATAGGTGGTAAAATAGTAAATACATTTATCATTAATATGTTTAAGAAAAAGTATATTTTATTATATATTACATAGGTATTTGCAATCTGGAAAAAAACAGAAACTAAAGAGTAAATATGTATATAGTATAAAACTGATAAACCATTTTGGGTACTGGTTTGTTATAGCCCCTTCCTCCTCCGTTACAAGTAAAAAATGTATTGCCTCGTCCTTTCAGGTTTGTTATCCTTCCATAACAGGGGTCGGCAATTAAATTCTATTGAGATTCAGAAAATCAAAAAAAAAAAAATTTTGAGAGCCAGTAATAACTAAAAACTCAAATATTAGTTAATAATTGTTGTGTTATCGCAACTATTATTGTAAATAGCAATAAACGATAAACACTTCATAATCTCTAAATACATCATAAAATAGATTAAATATATATTATGCGTGGAAAACCAGCATTATTAAAAAAAAAATATTTTTTGTGGTCCAATTTTTTTTCCTTCGCGGGCCAAATCCGGCTCACGGGTTGCCTATTGCCGACCACTGTTTCATAATAATAAACACATCATATAAATAATCTAAAAATTCGACGGAAAAAAATTACCATTACTTTGTGGTTCTCAACCTTTTTTGTATGACATCACCCTAATTTAGATCCATGAAAATGACAACACACTAACTCAGGCAATCCATAAATACAATATAAAAAAAGACTTTTTTTTTACTCATTAATTGTTTAAAAAATGTTGTATTATTTAATATTAGTACTTCATGCGACACGTTTGGACTTAAACAGTGACACATAAGTTAAAAACCACAGTTATAAAGTACCTATCACAGATATTTATCACATTATATGGATCAATATAATATATAATATCAATCAAACATCACAGTACAAATTTGTCATTTGGAAATCACGGAAACTATAAATATTTGTATACAATTTTTATTATTGTATTTATTATTATTTCATTTTTTAATTTAAATTTAATTTTAATGTTATGTTAATATATCGTCGAATAATTAGATTAATAAATATCAATAAACAAACTCATTACTTTATATTTATATGATGTATATATTGTTATATGGCTGGCGGAACGATAGCAAACATGAGTAGTGGAGCTATAAAGTTTTCACTTGTCGTGGCAGGGCTATAACGAACTAGTACCTCATTTTGTAAATAAATTCTAAACCAAGAATTGAAATAATATGTAAAATTAAAATTAACTGAACACAACAGCAGCACAACCAGGATTTATTCAAGGGGGTCCAAAAAAATGTATTTATCTACTGCTTTTCTGTTCTTTTCCTTAAATAATACATACATTTTATTGCTTAATAAACAAAATTATATTATTTAATTTATATACATATTTTTTACATTTTTAAATTTATATTTACAATGTATGTTAAGTAATTATTATGCCAGTTAAATCATGGAATAGTCATTATACATTAGTCTTAATATTGATTTTATTAATACATCATATTCAATGTGTTAGTAATAAAATACCAAATCTAATAAATAAAATTTGATGAAAATTGCAGGGTAACTTTAAAAAATAAAAATAAATACTATGGTATAACCCTCCTGGGTTTGCCATTGGAACACAATATAAAATATTATGTAAATTAAGTTATTGAGTATGAGAGAAAATAAATATTAATAAGATCCTATAATATAATAATTAAATTATACAAAAATAATTTTAATTTATTAACTGCAGCATTTAATAATTAAAAATGTAAATATATCTTTAAAAACAAAATGTTAGGCTTAGAGTTATTGAATAAGTTCTAGTATATATTTTTAAAAGCTCTCAGCCCTAGAAATAATTATACATGACATAATTTAAATCTTTCGGTAACTATACTCTATTTCAATTAAGAAAGATACGTAGTAGTCAAATTGTATGTTAAGTTATAGTTTCAATGTACAACAGGCTTACAGATGGTTGATTTGGTAAACTAACTTATAGGTGTTGTTTGACAAGAGCCTGACAAAGATTGGTCCACACAAAATACATTTCATAAGTTTAATGGAGTATAGTCACATGTGAAATATAATTCTTATGCTTACAGTATTTACAAGTTAAACAATTTGGAATTTTTTTTAATGTATTGAATACTGCAAAATACACTTTGGCTTTTATTCTATTAAATTTTTAATAGATTAAAAGATTCTGGGGTTTTTTTTTATAGATTATTAAAATTGTTGTAAGCTTTGTTTGTTTACATTTTGAAATGCATTTTAAAGGATTATTTTTGACAATAATTAAATTATATATTTAAATTAATTCAATTTTTTATGTGTACATACATATTATAGATGATTACTATAATGAAATACAATTATTAGGTTTCCATTTTAATTAACTTATCATACTATATCTTACTAAATTATTATGTTGTTGTACCTTCAAATGTTAATCATATAAATTAGGTTATTAGGTCAGGTTATAAAATAAACAATTTTTAATGATTAACTTGCAATAAATAACAAGGATTGTTAATAAGGATACCCTTAAGATTACTTGTTATAAAGCATTAACACTTACCTCCCATAAACAGAAAGTAGTGCACTTTCATTGGTAACATTTTTACATCTACTTGAATTAACGGCATCTTGTAATTATTATTTTCACAGAATCAACAACTAAAAATACAACACAAATATCATAGATAATAATAAGTTTTATATAATTGATAAATAATTGTTCACAGAATTATAATTATTATACCTTTTATATTAAATTTCTTTAGTCTAATAATACATAATTAGCTATAAGATTCACCAATAAACATACTACCTAAACAAAAAAAAATCAAATAACATAAAAACCATACTATTAAGTGGTTAATTACTTAACATGTATTTCTTTTTTTACCCATAAAATATGATTTCATTATTCTATTAATTATGTAAGTTTAATTGTTTAAATAGTTTGAAATCTACATAAAAAATTAAACTAAATATTTAACGATAACAGTTTAACTCGATTCAGATTATAAATTATGGTTATGAACGATTTAGAACATGAGTGAAAAGTAATTAAACACAATTACTAGTGTATCAATGAAAAACAATTAAAACTAATTATTAAAATTAAAATATTGATCTACTACACAGCCACAAATCGTCTTTATATTTTATAACACAGTACTACACGATTTTTTTTTATAGTGAATAACTGATATAGATGATAACTGATAATAATATAGAAGTCTGTACTAAAGGAATGAATATTTTATTGTGATAACTGATAATACTTAACAGTCATCAGTCGACAGTCACTCTATCAAACGTTAATTCGATTATTTCGAGTGTTTCAATTTTTGACAACTGACATCAAGTTTCATGTTGAAAAAAATTAAAAACATAATGCTATTTTATCATGATTCGTGATTTTACATTTTAAAATTTATCCAAATTTAAGGTTTTTAGTTATTGATTTTTATTTTTTTATGTTATTTATTTTGACATCAAAAGATTGTGACTAACTAGGCATTACTGAGATTGTCTGATGAATAATGAATAGCTTATGTAGTTATGTGGACTGTGGAAATTTAACAATCTTCATAATCATACTCTTCTATAGTTAAAAATAATATACCCATTTTATGTCAAACTATATTTTGTAGATTTACTAAAATATTTTTATATTTACTTTCCATAACTAATTCAGTAAAATCAAATTTTTGATTTATTTGATCAGTAATCTATAATAAAACGTAAATAAAAATATTAGTCATATCTTTAATTAAGTGTATTTAGTCAATGGTTTATGATTTTTAAATCTAAAATACACATATTAATATATTTTTGTTGATGATAAAAATCTAAATATTGTTATTATTGCTTTTAAATTATTAATTTAACATATTTTATTAATATGGTTAAGATGTCGAGTAATAGATAAATAAATAATGTAGTGGTAATGATATGTATTGAATAAAATCATAGTATAGATTAAAAGTGTTATAACTTTGTGGCCTTATTAGTAAATATATACCTATTTAAATATATTTTTATACTTAACTATATTACGAATAAAATAAATTAAGTATACCATGTATGGGCTTGAAAAAATTTCAAACTATTTAAACTTAAACCAGGATATTAAAAATGTACATATTTTATACATTCAATTTTCCAACGAAGAAAATAGTAAAATAATAAGATTTAAAATTTATATTTCACTAGATGACATCTAGTGTAATATAATATTATAGATCTTAAACTATACTATTTATTAGTACAATAATTTATATTATAGACTATAGAAGCACAGAATAAAATAAAATTAGTATGAAGTAGCGACAAAGATTATTATATTAGGTAATAGACAATAGTAAATTCTTTAATATCTATAGTCACATACTAATTACAATTTAAAAAATTTCTTAATTTTAAGTTGTTCTTATAAATATTTTCTCAAACGTAAAGTACTAAAGTATTTACAATTATTCATAATATTTATCAATTATGTTAATTTTTATTTTGTGCCTTTGTGGTTTTTGCACAGATATCAAACATATTAAGCTTAATAATTTTTACCTGCAGGTGTTTGTGGTTAGGTTATCTAAATAGGTAGATAACTAGGTAATTTGCTGTCATATGGTAATAAACTAACAAGTGATATTGTAACATGAATGTACAGAATGTAGTGGTGTTAAATAATTAAAAAATATTTAAGTACCAAGTTCCGATTTTTTTTCTGCGATTTCTATGATTTAATTTCCGATTTTGTCTTCTTTGGTGATTGGTTATTTGGTTAATTTTTTAAATCTTCCGCAATGACCTCTTTTATTTTATAATCAGATCAAAATTTCCCAAATTACAATAGAAAATAACGATAATTCCCACATTCGTAGGTAAATAACGTTAATAACCGGCGAATAACGTTAATTTCCAATATAACATAATTTACCATAACATAATATACAATATACAAAATTACTTGGTACATCTCATGCCTTCTCATATTTAACTTATTTTAGAATTTTTAATTTTTAAATAATTTATCTATATTTTTATTCATGTAATAGTATAAGTATAATATCATACAAATTTATACTTAGCAAAAAAATTTTTTTTTAATAAATACTATTTATTGATACTTACCAATTAATAAATGTTACATATTTTTTAATATATTTGAATTGAATGTACATTATTTATTTATACATTTTTTTTTTAAACTTTTATACATTTTAATTCTATATAGGTTGTAATGATTGTATTATGCATTATACATGTATATTATAGGTACCTACTACCTATAAAACAATTACCTATGTGGCTATGTAATAATTAATTAATAGCTATATAAGTATTTAAATTTAGCAATTAAATTAAACCTTAGTCAGTAAATTGTAAATACTAGTAGAGTAAACCAATAATAACAATTTATACCATCATAAACTATAATATATAAAATAAATAAAAGGAAATGGGAAGAAGTTTAACATTAACAGCAGTGATTCCTTAAATGTGGTTACTATACAAAACATAAAACACCATGACCATGGTGCAACAAAGTGCTAATAAGTATATTTGAATTATGTGTTTTAATTAATTAATTTAGGTACCTACACCGGAAACGATCCGTATTAGTGTTTCTTTATTGCGAACTGAATAGGTACTAAAAATTATGTAAATTGCGGACGAATTTCCAACCATTATTTAAATTTAACGATTGAGGACATCGAAAAATTTGTGTTTGATATTAGAATTGTATGCAATTGCATCCGAGACATAGAAGATCAATTACACACTAAAATAAGTAAAAAATAATTATTGATTACCTATTTACATTGATAATTGATACAAATAAAAACTTTGTGTTTCTTTGTATCAAAAAATTAAAAAAAATTTTAAAAGTGTGATTGCGTAGTGTTTTAATGGATGCCGGGTGATATTTTAAATCAGTACTTTTTCAAAATGTTCATCTCTATTTAGGTACTGAATAATTTATGGTCCATGGCGTTAGGTTAGGTTAGTGTTTCTTAACCGTACTGGTTCACCTGGACAGCGCCCGGTGTGCCCCATGATCAATTAGTGCCCCTCTCTCCCTTATTTTTATATTATTATAATATATATTATAGCGTACCTTTTTATATGAATCTATAAACAAATTACTAATTAGGTATATGTTTATTAAACAGATATAAACAATTATGCAAATGCTGGGAGTCTTCTGGCCGAGCTTATTACATTACATAGTTTTTATAAGTTTCTAATAAGATTTCAATTTGTCAACAAACTTTAGTATACACGTTTGTGTTTTTTTTTAGCATGAAGCAAATAGAAATAATTATAATTTTTAATATTATGTTTGAGTAATCAGATAACTAAAGTTTGTAACTAATTGATTGAATAACATAAATCATAATGGTAATAACTAATAATAGTATAATATACTACGACTACTATAGAAATTAGCTTGAAGATTAACAGTTTGTGTGCATAATGAAAATTCATATTGCATTATCATGAATGCTAATTAGTTCTAAATAATATATTCGTATATACGTAATAAGAATACCTATATTATGATTTATGAGTTTATGACACTATGATGATAATAAAAATAAATTGTATATAAATAATTAAAATATTATATCGCGCCAAATTTTGAACCAATGAAAAAATTGTATTTTTGTATGAGTTTAGCACTTTGGTGTTCTTCGATCTTTCTATAGATTTCATGGTTATTTAATATCAAAATCATGGAGTAATAAAAAAGGTAAAACAGTAATACCAAAATTTATTATCGATAATATTTGATAACCGACTGTAATGTGTAAGCAAAGTTAATATATTTGCTGCTACAACCAGTAACTTCTTTATCTATAGTTACAACTCTGTCTGGCCCCAACGCCCCCAACCATCTACATCATTTTACCGCGTAAAATCGTATCGTGGTCTTTGTGAAACACGAGTGCGTGCGTGTGAGCGCCCGCTTTGAATGGTTTACCACTATAATAGTACTTACAAGGCATTATTATTTTGCCTCCAAATCCACAGAATAGTGAATACGTCTAGTGTCTACTACTCTACTGTTGTTCAGACCTCACGTATCGTTCAGATTCATTCTCATTCCACGTTTGCTCTTTACTACTTGACTTTATTTTTTGTGTCTAACGTTATTTCATTGACAATCGACAATAATATTTTCTACGATGATGACTATGAACAAGGAAAATGTAATGGACAATTCACAACAGCCACAGGTAATTTTACCCGTATTTAGCCATTACGGTTATATTTAGACGTAAGACCACACAGGAAGTGCCGTCTACGCACTTAGTTTCGTTTACCGCCAATTACCATAATGCAATATATTTTTTAAATCTTACATATTATTTTGATGTATTATTATTGATGGCGTTTTATCAATTTTTATGATTGTAATTATTGTAGTTTATTTATTTATTTGTCCCTATATTAATAATAAAGTATTTATACTAGGCGATTCTTTTATCATGAACTACTCATTATTTTAAAAACTATTAACATTTTTGAAAATATTTCATTTATACAGTTAACAATCGAAATAAAACAACATTCTTTTTAAAGTTATTACTTTTTTTTAATGACAGCATATTCTTTTTGTTTCATATTTTGAAGTGGAATATTTCAGTATATAAAAATCTAAATTTGAACTAGTAGTTATTTACTTATGTATATTTATAGTTTTAATTAAGTGAGTGATATAGATGTACAGAGATACCTGCAAAATGTTGGCCTACTACTTCGCTCATCTCAGCTTTAAATACTTTTAACTCATAAATTGCTCGTTTGAATTATGATTTTTATAAATTAAAGTATTTTTAAAAATGTTCTGCTTAAGAACATGAAATTTAACTTGTATGTTGTCAATCAAAAAAGTAAAAATCTTAAAAAGAAAATATTGTTTTATTTCAACTATAATTTGTATTTAAGAAATATTTTCAAAAACGTTAATAGTTTTTGAAATAATGAGTAGTTAATGATTAAAGAATCACCTTGTATTAGAGTTTTGTGCAAAATAATATTTGTAATGGCAGGTGAATGAACTACTGAACAACTATAACATAATTGTAGCTTACCTTGAATAGCTTCCTAGTACTTATTTAGATTTCTTTGTATAAACTGATTTCCTGTGTAAAATATATAAACTTAAATGTTATTATTTTTGTAGCAAGACTTAGGTACCCCTTGATACTTTATAAAATTGAATGGTTAGGTTTTATTTTATAAAATACCTTTTATTAATGATATGATCCACAAGTGTTGATGTACATACTAACATATTATTAAAATATATATATATATATGTTAAGAATAGTAAAAATATTAAAATTAAGTGATGCACCAGGTTTTGGTAATTTGAAATTTTGTGACTGTATTAAATAGATGGTTTTAATTTATTATGCTGTAAATCTAGATACCAGGGATTTGATATTAAAATGTATACGCCTACTAAGGAAAATTAATATTTGAAAAATATGTTGGTATGCAGTTTTTTCAATACTTGTGATGATTTTACTATGGTTAGTTTAAGTGCATGATGGTAATGCAATTTGGTTTTCATGTGATTTTTCAATTTATTTTTATATGTAAGTATCTAGATTAGATTATTGCAGTTTTTTTATTTTACAATTCTATCTTTGACATTAAGTGATTTGGTTTTATATTATATATACAAAGTGATTCACCAAGCTCACTTTCCATATTTGTAATTCAATACTGCAGTCACAAAATAATCTGATTTACAGAAATTTTTAATTATTTCTAATAATAGTATATTTAAATTATTTGAATTTTTTGTGCTACTTAAAAAAAATTAATGTGGAGATATAAACTTTTGTTTTATAAAATGAAAATTCATCTGTCTATTGTAAAACATTATTAATTACATAATTTTTCTGAAAATTTTGACATAACAAAATCAAAATCAAAACATTATTACTATGTTATTAAAAATAAAAAGTCCTTGATGGTAGTCTGGAAGGTCTGAAGTTTACGAGTTAATATGTTAGTAATTTATCCATCAAAAATTATAATTTTTTAAATATGCTTAAAGTATAATAATTTACAGATCTAATTTATATATTTATAAAATCATTTTTAAGGACTATTATCCTTATTACCTATATATGTTTTAAAGTAAAAAAGAATTTCACTTATCAAAATTTTTAAACAAATTATCTGCTAAATAATTTACAATAGAAAAGGAGGATTTTAATTTGAAACAAAAGTTTCTATCGTATCTAAACACATTAAGTTATACAAAAAAATTTCAAAATTTTAAATAAGAAAATGGGGGACTGATCTTGCTTGATGAATATACATTAAATAATAAGAATCTGGAAGATTAGAGTACTTTTTCTAATATATAAAAGAAATTAAAAACATACATACTGTAAAACCATTACATTTATCAGTTCGTATAAAATATAAAATAGAATAATGACAAAAAAAATTAATTTTAACATTTAATAGTTAAAACTACCCTACTTGTTATGCTGCGTAATCGGAATCAAAAAAAAAATTGAGGTTGCTACTCATTTTTCAAACATAAGTTTTAAAAGAAAAAATTTAAAATCTCATTGTAATTAAAGTGTATTGTGTATCTATACTATCTATGTAATTGATTCAATAATAAGTATATTACAATAATGATAATTTTTTTTTTTAGAAAACTAAACATTTTTTGGAATCTGTAGCTGACTATAGAACAAATTTTGATGCTACAATCGAACCTTTATTAAAAGATAATCCAAAACGTTTTGTTATATTCCCTATTATATATGATGATATCTGGGCCATGTATAAAAAACAGGAAGCTTCGTTTTGGAATGTAGAGGAAGTCAATTTAAAAAATGTAAAATTCTAATTCATATCTTACTGATAAATAATTTTCTGATTCAAAATGGATTTTTGTCTTTAGGATCTTGATGATTGGATTAGATTGACTGATGAAGAACGTCACTTTGTATCCCACGTATTAGCATTTTTTGCTGCTTCAGATGGGATTGTTAATGAAAATCTTGTCGAACGATTTTCTCAAGAAGTTCAAGTAACTGAAGCTAGATGTTTTTATGGATTTCAAATAATGATGGAGAATATACATTCAGAAATGTATAGTTTATTAATTGATACATATATTCAAGACCCAAAAGAAAAGTAATTAACTTTTATCATCATACATACTGATTTCTATATTATTAATTTTATATGTTTAGAGACTTTTTATTTAATGCTATTGAAACCATGCCATGTGTAAAAAAAAAAGCTGATTGGGCTCTTAAATGGATAAGTGATAGTAAAGCCACTTTTGGTGAAAGGTTAGTGGCTTTTGCTGCTGTTGAAGGTATATTTTTCTCTGGAAGTTTTGCTGCATTATTTTGGTTAAAGAAAAGAGGATTAATGCCAGGTTTAACTTTTAGCAATGAGTTAATTTCCAGAGATGAGGTATGTTAATGTTTTCAATGATATAATAATATGTAACATATTTGTTATTATTTTAATACTTTTAGGGCTTACACACAGATTTTGCCTGTCTTTTATTTAAACATTTGGTTCAAAAACCACCTCAAGATATTATTACACATATAATTCGCGAAGCAGTAACTATTGAACAAGATTTTTTGACAAATGCTTTACCTGTTAGAATGGTTGGCATGAACTGTGAGAAAATGGCCGTATATATTGAATTTGTTGCTGATAGACTATTAGTTGAATTAGGATGTCCTACAGTACGTACATATATCATAACACTAATAATTCAATTATTATTCAAATTATTCAAATTTAATTAAATATTTAATTTTAGGTTTTTAGATCATCAAACCCGTTCCCATTTATGGAACTTATATCTCAACAAGGAAAGACAAACTTTTTTGAAAAAAGAGTTGGTGATTATCAGAAAGCTTCTGTGGCTGTTACTGAAACTCCTCATTTATCAACAATGGATATAACTGATAAGGACTTTTAAATTATTTTCTAATAGTGGCTTTTTTCCTTTTATTTGTGTACTTATTTATTTAATGAATTTTTTTCTTCCCTGCAAAGGGTAATAAGTTACTTTATTTAACCAAAAAGCACTATAAGCACTCTGTATTTTTTTTGTGAATAAAATTATTTTGTCAATGACATATTTATAATTAGAAGAAAACTTTATTTTTAAATTTTATAATAATAAAAAAAAAAGTATTTAATATTTTAATAAATCACACTTACTATACTTTTCATACTTGTATTTATAGTTGTAGTTGTAATTTAAAATTTAGAAATATATGACAAATGTGTTTTACTTGGTCTTAGACTTTTAATTTCCAGATAACAAGTTGTGTGTATACTAAATAAAAATAAAATTTTTATCTAGTATTAGTTATACAATAAAATATATAAATTTAAATTAAAGCTTATGCTTGTTTTTATTACCTCAATCAAATTATTATCTTTTATTAAAATTTTGGATTTATTACCTATGAAAGAAAATTGTGTTCAAATTAATACTAATGAAGTAATAAAATATATGGGAATCATATTGTGATCTTACATAAAAAATAAAAATATTTAAAAAGTGCTCTGAGAAAACAGTAAATACTTTTATCTCTAATTTAATACAAAAAAATATATCTTAGATGATCTATAAGAATCTTATTGAAAATGTTAGAATCTGTTAAAGCAATCAAAAAATGACTGTTAATGCCCTTTAGTCTTTTAGCCAAACTAAAGAAATATTAACAATTTTTATTAATTATAAAATTAGGCAATGTATTACTTTACCACACATAATATTGTTCAAATTTGAATTGTTTTAATGCCTATAAAAATTACTTGGTACATTTTTAAATATTTTTATTCAGCCAGTGACATTTCCACGGAGAGAGGCTCAGAATCTGACTAATCTGAGATGGTAAATTAACTTTTGTATGAAATAGTTTTTTCTCTAACGTTTTTGTATTTTTAAAATTTTAACTTGGAAATCATAATAAAATGTTCAACATATGTTATATTTTTACAATAAAAATATATCCTATATCATGAAGTAAACTGTGGCAAATTTAAATTTGTTAATCCCCTAAAAAAAGTTCTTGGTTACATCACTGAGTTCACCTATTAAAGATTTTTTTAATTTTTCACTATAAAATATTTGTAATTTGAACATTTTAATGAAGTAAACATTTTAAACACAGTTTATAAAAATTGTGATTATGTATTTTAAATAATTTTATACAAATATAAGAAACACTACATAATCTTATATTCTATTATCAAATATGTTTTTATCGACATTGTAGAAAATTATAACTATAGTCACTCGTTTTAAATTACTATAAAAAAAAAAAACAAAAATTGTTTGAAGAGAAAATATGTAGTTATTATCCAGCCATCCAGGTAAATATCTTATGTTGTTAAAATTTGAACTTCAAACAGTTGTTAAAAATTAATTTGACTGTTTTGAACAAAAATTGAAAGTAATTTAAAGAGCGTTTTATTAAATTTTAAATCTTGGAAATGAAAAGAAAAGTTTTTTTCGATTTTTTTAATTATACAAAATAACGGATTCCGTCAAAATACTAATTTTAAATGCAAAATTGTGCCCATGTATTTTTAGCATTTTGTATAGATGTATAAGAAAGATCTTGTATTCAATTTTCAAAAATTTAGACTCGACAAATAATTTGTTATTGACATTGATGCAAAAGAAAATAAAAAAAATTGAAAACTTTTCATGCCTCAAGTAGAAAATAATTATTAAAACACTTAGTAAAATTTCAAGTAGGTATCTATACTTTTATTCTTTTTTAAATTATAACAAAAAATAATAATTTTTTTGATAAGAAATAGTCGTTATTTGTTAACAGATAAATATCTATGTTAGTCGCTAAAATTTAAACTTCAAACAGGCATAAAAAATTAATTTGATTTTTTGGTAAAATTTCTTTTTAATTAATATTGCGAAACTTATAAATTATATTACATTTTAAAAATAATCTATTTTTATATTTTTTTAATTAGTTAATGAACAACTTTGTCAGTGAAAATTATTTATTGTCAGCTATACAAGCAACATTTAACTGTAGGTACGAAACTTACAAATCAATTATGGTTTTCTGCGGTTACTTAGATATCATATAGAACCAAAAATAGAACACAGTAGATATCATCGTAGCAGTACATAAAATATTGAACATCGACGTCCACAACCCATATTTAAATAAACAATGTCAAAATTAGAAATTAGAACTTCAATAACTCATTTATAACTTTTGAGACTAAATAAAATTTGTTCATTAATTTCCAGAAAATAAGTTTATGAAAAATCTTGTTTTAAATATTCTAGTCTTAGCTCTTAGGTTGAAATGGTTAAACATACAAGTATGAATTAAGTACCTTATTGAAATATGCAACTATAGCTAAATAAACATTTTATATTGGGTATAATTCAGTGTCGGCCTGGTTCTAAAGGGCCCAGGCAGGATTTTATTTTGAAGGGCCCCACTCTCATACTAAAAAATGTATTTATTATAATTAAATTAATGTAATACATTATACATATAGATTGTATATTTGTCATTTTAAATAAATAAAAAAAAAAAAAGACGAGGGCCCAGGCAGCGATTGCTGCCTAGCTGCCTTGGCCAGACAGACACTGGTATAATTCCATCGTACAATAATCATTCGTATTTCGCACTGAATACGATCATTATGATCGTATTTAGTTGACGGGAAACGAATATTAGCTGCTAAGCTCAAAGCTGCAGGTTGTTACCTTGTCGGTCAATCAGTTTTAATTTTATATTGCGATCAAATTATAGACGATAGCCAGTTTAGTGTAATAAATGGGTTCTGTCTCATGTTAAATTGTTAACTGGCAGTGGTCATCAACATAACTTGGACACTTGGTCAATGATCGCACTAAATATTAATAATTTTAGTAATTTTACCACAGGGCACAGAGTAATTATTATTCTATTATAGTAACTACTCTATGGTTCTAACTTCTCTCTTCATAATTTCATAATTCATATTATTGTATTATAAACTATTGTCTTATCTTTGATATTGCCTAGATTAAACTCCTTAAAATTAGAGATTTACCAAAATTCCTTTTTTTCTAAATACCTAAATCATCGAACAATATTTTGTTAATATAATGAAAATAGAAACGATTTTCGTTTCAATATACAAATGGAACAACCTCTCTATATTGCTCTGTGATTTTGTTTAATGCCACATTGGCTACACTGAATTTAAGCTACTATTTAATTTGAATTTCCGTTGAACCTTATCACGGTTTATAGTTTCACTGTTCACTGTTCAGTGTTTAGTATTTCAGTGTTCAACGTATGTGGTTTGAATTGTTTGAAGTTTCGTAGTTTACTACTTGTGATCGTTAGTCGTTAAGTTTTGTTGTTGGCAAAAAGTACAAGGTGTGTAGTGTTTATAAGCAGTTATGTTGTGTTATTTTATATATTTGTTTTATATCTATGACGGTGTACAAACAAATTAATAAAACAAAATAGAAATTAGCATTAATTTGTTAATGCGTCATGGAGTCTTCAATACTTAATAGTAGTATGAGTAAGTATTTATATTATTAATATTATTTATCTAAAATATAAGTACAATGAATTAGTTAAATGAAAAGTCAGTAACCCTTTTTTATTTTTTCTATTATATATTTCAATAATATTAAGTATAGTCATTAATTAAACATATATACATATGTTTAATCAATGGTATAGTCTTATATTGCATTATATTGATATATTTGGACTATATTATGCATTAGAGTAGATGCTATAACGTCTGTAATTGTCTCAGGTGAGAAGTGCATACTTATATCTAGAGAAAAATTATTTTATTTTAATTAATTAAGATCAGTTATTAATGTAAAAATTTATCATACTAATTGTAGATATCATATTTAGAGTTTTGTTTACCTTCAGTTACTTTTTGAATTATTTAATAACTATATATGCTGTAACAATCAATACATATATACTATGTAGGCTATTCCTCAATATGTGGTTTACCGTAATAAAAATTACAATATTGTATGCGGCTTACCTACGCTATTGAAAAAACTGATTCTTAGTAAAAAAAAAAAATAGAATTTATTTTATTTTAATTTATTATCCAATAATGTAATATGTAAAACAAATATGTATGTATTCTAGGAGTAAAAAAAAAAGTTGTTATCCAAAAATTTCTTGGAATAATTTAATGTTCCATGTATGTATAACCTTCTTTAGATATACTGTTATATCCACAGTCCATATCAAGAATCAAAATGAATTGTTTCATCTGGAATGCCTAAAAATAAATCAAATTATAAATTAGAATGTACATGTTATTTCATAGCTCATTTTTAATTATTGTATATAATATTTCTTTATTTCTTTCCTCAACATTAAAAAAATCTTTTAGTTGTTTTCAGGTAAGTTTTTGGAAAAAAAAGTCTTGTAAAATAAAATTTTCTTTAAATATTCAGGATATTATTATAGTGTCTAAATGAAGTACATTGATATAAAGTATATCGTAACATTAATAGTAGGTTTTATATTTATATAATTTATTTAATTTAATTTTTGTATTTAACATGAAAATTACAAAAGTAATTTTATTGAATTTAGAACAGTATAAATTCTTTTAGCAAGTGTAAAATAAACATTTTACTTTCAAATTATCACTTATAGTATTAATAGAATAAACACAAATAAAAGCTATTCAGTTTTTTAAATTATAGCTATATCTATATTAATAATCCTTATAATTTTTAGGTTCATCTAAGTCTATTGCAATAAATTATGAAATGGATAGTTCCAATGAAGATATTGGTAAGTGATTTTCATAACTTTAAATATAGGTAAATAATAATAATATGTTCACCAAGAACTTGGATTTGAAGCAATAACAAGTGTTTTGCAACTATCATTTTGTATGTTTTTCATTTATATAATATATTAGAGTACTGGGTTGAATATGTTATATTTTTATTAGGATTCATGCAATTAATATTAAATTTTAAACTTCTATTAATTTGCAAACTTACACATACCTAAAATAATTAGTATTGAATTCAGCTCAAGTGCATTCTACTTATTATTAATTTTTATAATTTCTTAATTTATATTTTATGATAATGTTGATTTAAAAAATAAACATATTGATAACTATTCTTATTAATTTCTATACATCCATTTATGGATAAGAGTTTAATATTAAAGTATTAATTTATTTGGGGATGTTAAAATCAATTGCATAAACACCTCGATAAACACTTGGATTTATAAATAATAATAATGAGTATTTTTGTATATACCTACTTTTTAATATTTAAATTTAAAATGTACATTTTAAAAAGATGTATTAAATTATAAAATTATATGTAAAATCTGTATGTAATATTATATAATGTCTATTAATATTTGAATATGTTTTCATTGGTAATTTTTTTATTGTTTTTAGATCAACAAGTTTTACAAGAAACTGGAGAACAAACTATTAGTGCTGAATGGTCAGCTACAATATCTGCATTAAATTCATCAGACACAATTTCAAGTAATTCTCATATTAATATTGAAACGTTAAAAGAGTGTTGTGCTAATCCTTCAGATACTCTTAAAGATAAAGAAGATTTTATGGTTTTTGAATCTTCTACTGTTGTAAATACATCAAAGTTCAATGCCAATGGCTCAAAATATTCAGAATGTAAAACCACAGCATTTCAAAAAAAATACAAACCAATTTCTCAAAATGTTAGTCGTGTATTTGAGAATATTTTAAATGATGATAGTCAGATGGAGATAACTCAGAATAGTATTCGTTTAAACCGCTTTCAAAAACGTAAGAGATTAATACCTCCTAATGATGAAGATTTTATTGAAATTAATAATTCCAATTACAGTAACTTAGATAATGTGGAAATTAGCATAATGAAGTCTCCAAAATTTTGTTTTTCCAAAAAAAAAAAGGATCAATTTGATACACCAGATTATAATTTATCTGCCACAGAGAATGTTTCAATGACTAATGATATTAATGTATTTAAAATAAAAGAAAATACCTCAAATTTGTCTTTTGTTGTAAATGATAGTTCCAATAATATCATAGATGTTTCCAAACCAGAAGTCTTTACACAAAAATTCAGCCGCAAAACAATTGGTGTACCTGATACTGCATTTGATAATTTCATTAATGATTCAAGCATGACATCTGATATAGCACTCAATAATAAAAATACATCTTTGAATGAAATCTCAGTATCAAATGTTAATAATACTCCTTTGTTAAGTAAACCAAATGTGTTAAATTTAAATCATACTTATGATGTACCTATTAATACTAATTATACTGCTGTCAAAAGTTTAATTTCTGGTGATCCTGATATATCTACAGAAAGACAAAATATTGTTTTTAAAAAACCGTCAAATTCATCTATTCTTGTAAACGAAAACTCTAACAATATGGATGTATCTAACACAGAAATCTTTAAACACAAGTTCAACCAAAAAACAATTGATCTAACTAATTCAGCATTTGACAATATTATTAATGATTCAAGCATGGCATCTGATATTACAATGAATAACAAAAAGACATTCTTAAATGAGAATTCAATGTTAAATAAAATGGACATAATAAATTTAAATCATACTTATGATGTACTTATTAATACTGATTCTACCTCAGTTGAAGGTTCAATTGCTAATGTTGATGATTTACCTCGAGTAAAACAAAATACTGTTTTTAAATCGCCATCAAATTCATATTTTGTGAATGATAATTCAAATGATATTATGGATGTATCCAAAACAGAAGTCTTAATACACAAGTTCAGCCGAAAAGCAATTGATGTAGCTGATTCAGTATTTGACAATATTATTAATGAATCAAGTATTATATCAGATAAAACATTTAATAACAAAGTTACATCATCCAATGAGACATTAGTGTCCAATGTTCATGATTCTCCAGGGTTTAGTAAAATAGACATATCTAATTTAAATAATACCTATGAGATACCTACAAATATCAATACTTCTAAAATTGATGTTTCTTTTGCTAATGATATTAACAAAGTTAAAGTAAAACAAAATATTGGTTTAAAAAAATTTTCAAAATCATCTATTGTTTATAATGATAGTTCTAACAATATTATGGATGCATCCAAAACAGAAGTCTTTACTCACAAGTTCAGCCGAAAAATAGTTGATGTCACTAATTCTGTGTTTGACAATATTATTAATGATTCAAGCATAATATCTGATATTACATTAAATAACAAGAAGATATCATCACCAAATGTTAATAACACTCCAGTTTTTAATAGAATAGACGTTTCTAGTTTAAATCATACCTATAATATACCTAAAATTAACAATACTACTATTTTGGACGATATTGTTGAAAATGATAAAAGTATGTCTGAAACTCCTGTTTTACTTAAATACAATACTTCAAAAAGCCTTAATCTATTGCCACTAAAATTTAATTTTAGTAATAAAATTGGTCGTCATAGTCTAAGTTATCAAGAAAAACGTTCAAGCTTTGATGGTGTAAAAAAACATAACATATCATTAAATACTGTTTTTATCGATTGCGCTGGAGATAAAGCCAATATTTTTCATAAATCGGTTGATAATAGTAATGTAAACATAGATTCACATTCACATATTTCTAAAATTCAAGAAAACAACAACAGTTCTCAAGAAATGCAACCATTTGATGATTCGTTATTAATTAATAAATTGAATCAAGAACAACCTAAATTGAAGAGTTCAAATTCAAATAATGAAGATTTATTATTGTCAAATACTACAAAATCATTAGAAAGTAATGAATTCAAGAAAAATCAATCAAAACATTCAATAAGTTCTAATTCAAGCAATGAAGGTTTAACTTTATTAAATTCTACCACTGGATTATTGGAAAGCTGCAGTTCAATAAGAAATCAATCAAGGTTATTGAAATTTAAACATTCAAAAAGTTCTATTTCAAATAATAATACCTTAAATTCAACTATGGAATTGTCAGACAATAATGAATCTCAGAGAACACAATCAAAGCGTTCAATTAGTCCTTCATACAATGAAAGTTTAAAATCAACAAATTCTACAACTGGATTTTCAGGAAGACGTAGTTCGTCTAGAAATAAATCATCATTACTAATATCTAAACTTTCAACAAGCATTATTTCAAATAATGATAATACAACATCATTAAATGCTGCTACAGGAATATCGGTAAGCGGTAGATCATCTAAAGATAAATCTCAACATTCTATAACTGCTGTTTCAAACAATGAAAATTTAACATTGTTAAATGCTACTATAGGGTCAGTAGAAAATAATAAATCTCAGAAAATTCAATCTAAACATTTAAAAAGTCATACTTTAAATATTGAAACTGTATCAACTTTGAAGAGCACAATTGGATCATTAAAACAAAATGTGTTATCAATGAATCAATCAAATGGATTAACTTCAGAATATTCTTCATCTATTATTGGTGGGAAATCATCTATTAATTCATTAATACAAGAAGATGTAATAGATAATGTTAATAGAATGTCTACTCGTTTGTCAAAACAAAAGAGCAATTTTCAAAGTAATATAGAACCTGAAACTTCAATTATTATTAATGGATTAATGAATAAAGATGATATAACA